AGTGTTAAGTAACAATGGAAGTTTTAAGTAACAATGGAAGTGTTACGTAACAATGGAATTGTTAAGAGAAAGCGACGTGCAAGATTTACAGGCGCAGATGCAGTTCTTTCGTTTTTGCAGGAAATCGAACATATTTTTAGAACCATCTAAAAGTTCTCTAATTAGTCTGGAAACAAGGGGACCCAATTCTTGCATTCTGTGAAAACGGGTAAGGTTGACTGTAACGTAATAATCTTTATCTTAGTTATCGTTACTTTTGCCCGAGCAACGCCAGGCCCACCTGCTAGTTAAGAATAAACCAGAAACGAGTTGCTCAACTTTTCCGGCAAAATTTAAAATTCTGCTGGCGCTATCTATTATCATATTTTATTGAAATAACGAATTATTTTGACTTCTTTCTCGTAAATTTATATTAAACACTACTCTCACTGTATTAAAATACTTACCTTTAACTTCCGTATCTTTTTTAATATCTACAGGTTCTTCCGTTTTAGGACTGCATAATATTATTTGACGAATAAAACATATCACAGAACATATAACCATTTGAGAGATGCCATATAACAATGGAAGCAAAAGTAATTTTGGATATTTCTACAAATAAAATATATTTCAGAATATTTTCAAATTATAAATAATTAAAATTATTTACATTACGAAACTTACCGCAATATCAAAAGATAATGAAATGACACTAAGTGATACAGCTACATTTTGAATACCACTTTCAATTCCTACCGTTTTACATACTGCGATGGGTCTTCTAAAAAGAAATGCTATACAAAATCCTGTCAGAATTCCAACCAGTGGCATAAGCGCAGAAGTCACAATGTGTTGCCAAGTTAAACGAAGAAGGGCAGAGCTAAATAATATCATTTCTAATACAAACACCACTGCAATAAGCACCAAACCTAATACACTACCACACTATCAACACAAACAAAAACATTATATTAAATGTTATATGTGTAACAAACATTTAACGAGAAACTATCTCACCTTGGTAACGTATTCAGACACTTTTGGAACTTTCCATTTCAAAAGCATACCAAAAAGGACGGGAGACGTGATCATAATTAAGGATAAAGCCATATTAAGATAAGGTATGACCAATTTGCTGGCCTCGGTATCTTTCGCATAAATCCAGACGTTAAGAGGCATCATGCCTAATGCCAAAACAGTGGAAATCGTTGTCATTGTAATGCTATTTTCATAAATAATTATATAATAATTATAAATGAGAATTTTCTGAAGAAAATGTTAATATTTGTATAACAAACCTTAATGATACATCACCATCTACGTAATACGTGAAAGTGTTGGAGACAGCACCACCCGGACAGCACGATACTATTAATAACCCTGCAGCTACTGTTGACTCAAATTGGAATATTTTATTAAAAGCGTAACCTAATAAAGGCATTATTATAAACTGATTGCATAATCCAATTATTGGTCCAACAGGTCTCCGAACGTGCTTCCAAATCTACACAATAATAATATAATGTAACACAATTATCGTTGTAAATATATTATTAATAAATTATATAAATGATTGTTACTTGTCTCCAATAAATACACGCTCCCATTGCAACCATTATTATTATCAATGTCATGGTTAATAATACATCGTGGATTAATTTAAGATTTGGAATTATATACGGTTCAACATCTGTTACATTATCACTTGTTGAATTATATTCAATAAATTCTGTAGTATTGTTTTTCATTGCAAATTACAGTACTTAATTCGACGATTCTGATGATAAAATAGGGTGGTTTCACGTTACTTATGTGGAAAATTTCACATCGTTTTAACAATTCTGAAATGAGATAATTTTCTTAATAATATATATAAAAAAATTAATTAATGAATTTTCATAGTTTTATAAAGGAAAAATTTAGAAGTCAATATTTATTTACAGATTAATTATGACCGACCTGTATTTAAAATGTACCCTTATAAAATGTATTTAAATATGCATTTTATAAGGGTGTTTAATACAGATCGGCCATAATTAAAGTTTTCCTGTTCAGATCATTCTGGCCCACGAGTGGCCGAATGGAAAAAACCACGGAACACTTATATTTGATCGTGGGTTCGTGTCTCGTCAAAGGGATTAGTTACCTGGAGTTTTCTGGATTTTCTTTCCATTTTAATAGTGTCGGGTTTCCCATGGACCCATAAAAGTTTTTCCGGAAGGAGTTCTCCCTAGGCAGATTGCACACGTGTTGGGTTACGTAACCGAATAAGCCAAACCAGAATATTCTGTAGCTGTAACCAAAAAGCAGATTGACACCAAAATTTGTACACCGATTATGGAAAGGACGCAAAAAAAGGATTTTACAAAATAAAAATACGTTCGAAGTATTACTGGAGAGCGGTTTGCTTTACGACACAATGTTCATCGTCTTCAAAGTTTACATCTGAACAATTGGGCGCATATTGATAAACATTTCTTACATCAATAAACAGCCTTTGCAGAAGGCATGCCCCTTGTGAAACGAATAAATGTGTTTTTCTTGTGTATTTTCGTGTAAAGCGCCTTCCATTGGAATTTTTTTGCATCCTTTGTGTAGTTTTTATGCAAATTTTGGTGTCAATCCGCTTACTGATTACAGCTACAGAGTGCTCTGAATAGAGAAACTAACTATACCCACCCCAATACTTTAAAACCATTTAGCTAAGAAATTATCTTGCCGGTGGGCAAGTAAATAAAATCACACACCACTAACCGCGGGTTCGCGCTGACCTGATAGTAGAGGTTGCGGCCGACGTTTTCATCGCGAAAACGTGAACGTCGGACGTTCAGCTCCCCCTTCCTGTAAGCCTAGAAGTTTGACAATGGCGTTTGGAACGTCAGTGGAATCATGCTCGACGTTCCAAACGTCATTGTCAAACTTCTAGGCTTACAGGAAGGCTTAGCTAATCGCGAAAGCGTGAACGTCCGACGTTCACGCTTTCGCGATTAGCTAAGCCTTCCTGTAAGCCTAGAAGGCTGCGGACGACGTTTTCATGTTTTCCTGTAAGCCTAGAGAAGCTGCGGACGACGTTTTCATCGAGAAAGCGTGAACGTCCGACGTTCACGCTTTCGCGATGAAAACGTCGTCCGCAGCCTCTCTAGTAATTAAAGTACCTATTTGTCCGTGATCGATTTTTGTATTAGTCTAATCATTTGCTTATTTGGAACTACTATTTAAAGAAAAAATAGGAAAGAATGCAAAGTAAATGTTCAATAAATTCTTGAACCTATATTAGGTACTGTTTCTAGAGAAAAAGTTTATCAAGAATCGTTTGAACGGGCTTACATTTTTTTCTTATCAGCATAATTCTACAATAACAAGTAAAATGGCTTTCTAGAGCTCGGTTGTAAAATTTACGAAAAACGTAATATATAAATATAGTAGTAGAACAGTTGGAGTGTCTCTGTAGAAGGAATTATTAGGCAAATCGCAACGTAATTTTATGTTCATTTGTTTAGTTATGGCAACGCAAGACTTGGGCGATCTGCCTAGGGGAATGCCTTCCGGGAGGCCTCTTTTAAGGGAAACTGGTCTCTATTTAGGCGTTACAGACATGGAGAAAACCCAGAAAACTCCACGTGGCCAGCCCATGCAAGCGAGGCGCGAACCCACGACCGAAACTGCCAGTGTTCAGGGAACGAAGACCATTTGGCCACTAGTGGGCCTATTCATGTTCGTAGTGTCCTGAGTATGCGGTTTCGGTTTTCGGTAAATTTTTGCTTCAAAATTTAGCCGCTGGGGTAAAATTCGATGTTACTATCCCTTTAATGCGTACATCTCTTACTCCACTGTCTTCGTGCGGAATAAAGGACAACTAGAGGTGTCAGCTCGTCACGAAAGGAATATTCATTCATATACACTGATCACGTGTGAAGAAAATTCCAGTATAAAAACGAACTTTTAGGTTTATTTAGTTAAGGCCACCAAACATATGGGCGACATGTCTACAGGGATGCCTCACAGGAGAACTTTTTATGGGAAACTGGCCCCTATTTAGTTGTCACCCACGTGAAGAAAATCCGAAAAACTCCACGTGGCCACTGTGGTCAGCCACAACCAGTGTTTAGTAGTTTTATTCACTCGTCCACTGAGGGACCCCTATTTTTAAGAAATTCTAAACGTAATTTGGAGTCATTAATCCTTTATAATAGTCGTGATCATAATTAAGGATAAAGCCATATTAAGATAAGGTATGACCAATTTGCTGGCCTCGGTATCTTTCGCATAAATCCAGACGTTAAGAGGCATCATGCCTAATGCCAAAACAGTGGAAATCGTTGTCATTGTANTAAATGCATATATAAATGCAGATTATGTAAATTATATTTATTATATAAATGCATATTATATAAATATAAATGCAGAATAAAAATATTTTTTATGTATTTTTATAGTAAAGTATAATTAACCATAATTTTTAAAACAAATTCTTAACATTAAATTTTTAAATATTTTAAATAATAAAATCTATTTTAAAAAATAAATTATTTTACAGGTGATTTTATTTCATTAAATTCAATATTTAGATAAAACTCTTCCAATTCTAAATTTTCTCATAGGTCAAAGGATTAACTTATATTCTTGTGTACGTCATAATATGTATAAATACTCATGTATATTCAAAATACATTGTTAAAGTAAACAAGAATATAAAAAGATACTTTGTCCTATGGAAAAATTAAGAACTGGAACTGGAATTTTGAATTTATAACTATTCTAATTATTGTGTTTCTCATTCCTTTTATAAAACACAATTTTACAGTAAATATAAATTAAAGGATGATAAACTAAGGGGAGTCCATTACCTCCAAAATCATAGTCCAAACTTTGTAGACCACAATAAGTTTGTCTACATAATAATTAAATTCATCTTTAAAGCAATATCACTTACTTACAAATAATTCTCACCTTAAAAGAAAGAAATTTTAAAACTTCATACACACACAGATGTAAAATTGTTGATGAATTGCTAACAGAAAAAGCATCTACAAACTTGAAAATACTTCACTATAGTTAATAATTATAATACAAAATATGACGACATGCAATTATGAATAACAATTCATGCATTGATATTTGACACGCATTGTTTTATACCCTTTTCATGTAAATGTATTTATATACAGGGTGGGCCAACGAAAACGAAACGGCAGAGATATCGCGTTCGTCCAAGCAAATCGCTCGGACAGGTCGATTTTATTCTCAAGGGGGACATCTTCAGCAATAAAGTTTTTGCGATTCTGAATACAACAGACAACAAAAAATTTTAAAAACTCATTCATTTTTTATTAACTAAACAAACATTTATTTCAAAATCAAGTAACAAAAACTTTCAGAATCGTAAAAACATTCAGAATTCAGAATCGCAAAAACTTAATTGATGAAGATGTCCCCCTTGAGAATAAAATCGACCTGTCCGAGCGATTTGCTTGGACGAACGCGATAACTCTGCCGTTTCGTTTTCGTTGGCCCACCCTGTATAACGGATCCAGGAAAGTAAAAGTGACTATATACAATTATGAATGTACGTAAGAATTCGTGAATTCACAATCGTTTTATACTCTTTACATGTTAAAGAACGATTCGGTAAAGAAATATGGCGGATAATATTACATAAAAATTACATTTATATACAATAATGTTAATTGCATAACATTATGAATGATTGTTTTTATTCTCGTAAATCAAGTTGTAATGATTCATCAAAATGACAGCTGATTATAGCAATATTCTCTTTAAAGTCCATTGAATGGTCCTTCCAAAATTATAAATCGTGGAGTTAAATTCCGATTTTGTAATATTTAAGGCTTCCAAACTTTGTATTTTGGATTATTATAATGAAAATCCAACTTATAATTTAAGATAAATATTTACAAATTATCTGTAGTTATTGACTACTTAACTGAGTTGTCATTAAAATTTGTTGAAACAGAACACAGAAACTTTAACCCTCCTGTACACGCTTCTCGACCTAATAAGACGTGTTATAGACTCCGATATTTTAGAATTAATACTATTTAATCCTTCATTAACATTTGCCTAGGGGGATGCCTTCCTGGAGGTTTTTTTTAAGGGTAACTGACCCATATTCAGGCGTTACGGACGTGAAGAAAACCTGGCAAACTCCCCGTCCTGGCGAGATGCGAACCCACGACCGAACTTCCAGTGTTCAGGGAACGGAACCGCTTGGCCACTGGTGGGCCGATTTTTTTAGCTGCCAAAGGGTTTAAAAAAAAAAAATTGAAAACTTAAAAGAATAAAATTTATTAAAATGAGCTGTCACTGTCCATTACGTGTACAGTTTAAGGAGGAGGCAGAGAAAACAACTGTATGCAAACAATGGGGAGAGGGGGTCGAGACATTGTCTACACCAGCGATTCACAACCGGGTGGTTTAAGATACGCGAAAAAAAATTAATAATGGCAGATCTACTATGAGAATATTCGGATTCTGCGATGAGGCATTTGGTGGTGTCACGGCATTCGATGCTTAGTTTTAAATAAAAATATAATTATAATACTTTTTCGGCTATTATATATAACAGAGGGAAAGTATGACGATCAGTCAAAAAATGACCTTTCCCAGATTTTCNGTTTCTTTCAATATACGCAATCAAAAATTTTCAAGAATAAATACTTTCGACATATATTTTCTTATTTATATATATTAAGTTTACAAGTTTACTAAATTACATAATATTGTTCTAATAAATTTAAATAGTTGTAACGCTCTGATAAAACATAAAGTAGCAAGCGCTGGTTCTATTGTAATATTTAAATAACTTACATGTAAATTACTATACGCCTTTCAAAAATACTTTTATATTGTATATATTTACAGAAGTATTAATAAATTTGACTATACGTTACGGGTAAAGTCAGCGATTGGATAATGCTAGGATAAATGGTAGCATTATAACTTTATCCAAGTCACGAGCTGATGACGGATGAATGATGCAAGAACAGGCTTTTTTCAGTGTTTGTTTACCGTTTATTACATAAAATTGAGTATAGATTTAACATTTTTATGGGCGTGAACTTTTTGTTTTTTAGACAATACGTCAGAAAACAGAGATAGTGATTTGCCAGACGTGGCAAGTTGTCGTCAGGTTTCAACCCAATTGGCGATGATTTTTTCGATCTTCAATTGTATTTATTACTGTGACCAACTCTCCGGTATACGCCATTTAAGCTAGTTTGTAAATCAAAGTTACTTTAATCTTAATTCTACAACTTTTAAAAGTACAAGTTTTAAAGTTATATTTTGTGGTCTTTTGGTAAAATAACTAACTTATCTTCGTCCACTCATTTTTTTGCGTAATAACTACTATGTAAATAAGAAATTTCAGTTGAATTTAAAAAAACAAAATTCCTTCTTTATCTATCCAGTCTGCATTGTAAATATCGCAGATTATTTGAATAAAGTTTTTTTTTTAAATTTTTTTTGCTTTATCCAAAGTGGGGTGGATAAAGCAAGGGAAAAAAATGGATACCCTTTTTAGGATAACGTCAGGTTGTATGTGACTTGGATAAAGCACGCTTCATACGGATACAGTACAAAATAAATAGGTTGTTAGTTGCTTTAATCTAGTTTTATCCAATTCACAAGTTTATTTTATGATGATATATTCATAAATAGAGAAATCCCCATGTTTTTTTAAGATCCCCGAGTCCAAAAATGTAAGGATAACTGGCCCCTATTCAGACACATCTTGGCAAGAGCGATGATCAGCGTTTTCTAAAAGAGAAAATTAAGCCGATACTACACATTTGATATTAGCCAAAAAAGGCTGCTACAGTTGTGAAGAAAACCCGGAAAACTCCACGTGGCTATCACGTTCGGGCGAGGGGCGAACCCACGACCGAACTCCTAGTGTTCAGGGAACGGAACCGCTTGGGTACTGGTGGGCCCTTTATATTTTCACCAATCCGTCATACTTAATACATAACAGAGAGAAACGTATAAAAGCCGGTAAAATAAAAATGGCAAATTCATCAACATGGCTGCCTAATTATCGAAAGATATGAATGAAAATGAATAATTCCTTCAAGCGTTTAACTTCTATTTACTATTCATTCAAATACACGTTTACAAGTCCCCCAAAATAACATGAAATGCATCAAATAATATTAAAAAATTTCAAATACTTTAAACTTTATTAAATAAGTAAAGTAAATCAAAATTTTTTAATGTAAGTTATAAAATGACGATGTTATTTCTCAGGATTTCCTCATTAGTATAATTATTCACCACTTAATTTCCTGTAATCGTAGTCGCTATCAACGCGAGAGGATAAGATCGTATTACAGTAAATAGGAACGAACAATAATGAAACATTTGTACAGTTTTATTATATATTATACAACTATATTGTATAAATATAAACATATATAAAAATGATATGTACAATTTGAGCTACTTTTGACTTTCTCCCTTCTTCTGTGTTGTTTATAATGTAATTTTCTCAAACTACTTCCCATGTAGAGGAGATCGGGGCAACTTCGGCATGCGGGGCAAGTTTGTCAAGCGCTTTTTTTAAAAAACAAATTAAAAGGAGACTTTGGTTATAGGTTAGGCAGTTGAGTTTTATTGGTGGCTTGTTGAGTGTAGTGTTTTTATTGTTCTCCAACAAGCGTAGTTGAATTATCAAGCAAATTTTCATTTTCGTTCAATTCCATATAATATTTTTTTTCCATTTATATTGAATTGGCAGGTTTTGTTATAATTCCATGATAACGAAAGTTACTTTTCCTGTTAGAAGGATGTAACTTCAACTTATTCACGTGGCCAGATCGTGGCTTGGCATTCTGTTCTCAGGGTTGTACTTAATGTTTCGAAATCATGACTAGCGGGGTAAGATCGGCAACATAAAGCCACATTAGAAGCAAAGGATAAAAATCAAACAGATGATAAATGAAAACATGTTTGCATTTGTTATTCATGTATATATGTCTTTGAACTTGCATTTCGTTGTAATAATATTAAATGGGTGTTGGATTTGTATTTCTTTGTTTTAATAGTGAATTCCAACTTATACATTGTTAATAACATAATTTTATATACGTGCCTATCTTGCCCCATTACTGTTGCCCCTATACCAGGGGCAACTTTAATAAAAATAATTAAAATAATTACAACTTTACAAAAAGAGAGAAGTTGCCGATCTTGCCCCTATACCCGGGGCAACTTCGTCAATTTCTCTCTTCTTGTAAAGTTGTAATTATTTTAATTATTTTTATTTCCAAACTGATTTTAACCAGTTCTATAGTAAGGTAACATTCCAATAGACAATATGCAAAGCTTTTTTTTCAGTTTACAGCAGTATTTATTACACAAAATTTAAGTAAAGCTTAACATGCCGATCTTGCCCCGATCTCCCCTAATAATGTGCGTGTACAATAGAGCATGGACCATCTCCCAGAAATTGAAGAAGAGACTTTAAAAGGTTCTGTAAATATTTTCTGCCTGATAATTTTATTGGCATGAATAGTAAATAGGCTTATAAGAGCAAATTTGTATTCCAGTGTGTTCGTGTAGAACAGCGGTTCCCATTTTCAGCAAGTTTTATTTTGCGTGTTCGTCAAACAGTGGCGCCCTGGTCAATTATACAGCACTGTACAATTATATGTAAAAAATATTTTTGAGATCGAAAAGCGTTGGAGGAAATACACAGATAGATATAACGAAAAAATCCAGCAACGAGCCGACCCTACTAGAGTTACGACACATAACCCCTTTTATCTTCTCATCCCCTTGACCTTTACCCACCAAAATTTATTAGCATCAATACCCCTAAAACATAAACCGCCCTGAAAAAGTTTAGAAATTTTCGACAAAAAGTACAGGAGTTATTAAGCTTGAAAGTGGATGAACAAAATCGTACCATACCCCACACATACTAACATCAATACATACAGAAATTACCCTCGAAGTTTTTTGCATTTCTCGACGTTTCAAGGTGTCCTAAGTCCAAAAATGTAAAAATCTGTGAAAGGTCATTTTTTGACTGATCGCCATACTTTTCCTCTGTTATATATAACAGCCGAAAAAGTATTATAATTATATTTTTATTTAAAACTAAGCATCGAATGCCGTGACACCACCAAATGCCTCATCGCAGAATTCGCATATTCTCATAGTAGATCCGCCATTATTAATTTTTTTCGCGTATCTTAAACCACCCGGTTGTGAATCGCTGGTGTAGACAATGTCTCGACCCCCTCTCCCCATTGTTTGCATACAGTTCTTTTCTCTGCTTCCTCCTTAAACTGTACACGTAATGGATAGTGACAGCTCATTTTAATAAATTTTATTCTTTTAAGTTTTCAAATTGTTTTATTTTTAAAACCCTTTGGCAGCTATAAAATCGGTTCACCAGTGGTTAAGCGGTTCCATTCTCTGAACACTGGAAGTTCGGTCGTGGGTTCGCATCTCGCCAGGACGGAGAGTTTGTCAGGTTTTCTTCACGTCTGTAACGCCTGAATATGGGTCAGCTACCCTTAAAAAAAAGCCTCCAGGAAGCCATCCCCCTAGGCAGATCGCCCAAGTGTTGCTTTGCCATAAGTTAATAAAACAAACAAACAAGCTACAAAATCAATTATTAATCTGTTTAATTGTATAATCTTCCTATTTACCTCTAATTTAGCTATTATAATAAGTACAAAATTATGCTAATTATGAGTAAATTTAGCGTTACGTACCAAGAAAATTAACTTAAAAATTATTTGCGAGGAAGTAAAATAATATATTTAAATATTGTTCATTTTACCTGAAAAAATAATTCTACTTAAAGTAATTTGATTAGCATTTCGTCAGTAAAAAGTTGTCTGGACGACACCATAATTGAATGTAAGGTAGGTTCGGAATATAAAGTTAATATATGGAAAAAAAAGTAGAACAACTTCAATAAATAAATTATCTAATTTGTTTGGCTGTATGCCAAGTCAATGTACAAGAAACTCTCCTGTTAAAGTATATATTGAATAAATTTCGTATAAATTAATCACAAACTGCAACATATACAAGAGTTATGTACAGAATTAAATAAAATTATTATTTGTGAAAGAAATAAGCTCAAAGTGGAAAAAGTTTACGAAGAAATAAAGTAGTTTCGTCACAGGTAAGGTCCGCTTCTATGTATGTTCAGGTGCGTGTGTGTGTTACTTAAATGTAACATAATAATTATTATAAAAATATAGAACATGAGAATGAAAGAGTCGTTTTTAATTATTTATATTCATTAAATCTTTGTGTTTTAAGTGTGTTATATAAACCATTTTCGCAATTTATAATGACATTATTTTTCTAGTAGAGTAATATCTATTAATTCAATTTAGAGGTACAAAATTTCCATATATATAGATTACCCATCACAATTAAATAAATATAACATCGTATAATTTCATATTTACTGTGTGCGTGGCAAGATGTGTATAATAAATAACGTAAACGAATGTACTGTATAAACAATTAAATGGAAATTATTTGTATTTTCATTTTATTAAAATATTGTAAAAATAGGGGTCAGTTTTCCATAGAAAGTCCTCCCAGATTGGCGTTTTGATTCTACATATATATTTATTTATTTTATTCCTAATATCTAAAGAATCATCCTCTTCTATTGCATCATAATATAATAGGCCTATATTTATAAGTCTACAATTATTCAAATTGCCTAATTGTCAAGGTTAAAATTTAAATGGAATATTCTAGTCGTTGAATATTTTCTAACATCTAAATAGGGACCACTTCTTAACCCATAACTACTAAAACCGAATAGCATCAATGCCCGTAATACACAAACTTCCCTGCATAATTTTAGAAATTTTTGATAAAAGGCACAGGAGTTATTAATAAATCTATATTTTATAAGATAAGTGTATTAACTGAATAAGCACTTCAGTCAAACACGTATTTTTATTTAATTACTCGATAAAATAAACTGATAAGAGAGACAATTGCTGTTGAAATTGAATTTGACTTCAAAGCAGACATGTTAAATACTACAGAAGTCACCCCTAGTAGTAATTCAACGAATAATTATACAAATGACTTAGTTATTAATGAAGATCTTAAAACAGCTCAAGATGTTTTAATCATCATTTTAATAATACTAATTATGATCGCAATGGGGGCGGATATTTGTTGGAAACAGGCAAGTACCTCGATTAAATAGTTAAGTTTCATTGCACTTATAATTGCAATTTTTGTAGATTTGGGTGCATATTCGAAGGCCATTCGGTCCTCTAATTGGTCTGTTTTGTCAATTTGTAATGATGCCATTCATCGGTTACATTTATAATTTAATATTTATGTTTGAAACGAGAATGGCTGCCGGATTACTTATTATATCGTGTTGCCCTGGGGGTGCCATCTCCAATGCTTTCGCTTATTATTTAGATGGTAACGTCTCCTTAAGGTAAGTTTATATTAAATGTTATTGATAGTTATTTAATAAATCCACGTAGTAAAATTGTTTTATGGAAATTTAGTGTCACAATGACTACAATATCTACTGTCATGGCATTAGGGATGATGCCTCTTAACGTATGGATCTATTCAGTTAAAAGTGAATCTGATAAGTTGCATATACCTTACGAGAAAATGGCTTTATCATTAGTTATGATAACTTCTCCGGTACTGATAGGTATGGCAATCAGATGGAAGGTTCCAAAATATTCTGTGTATGTCACTAAGGTAATTATAAACACGAATTTTGAATTGCATTAGTTGTAACAGTATAAATAATTATCATTTATCCCTTTATAGTGGGGGAGTGCAATCGGTTGTATGATTCTTGTGGCTGTATTAATAATAGAATTCATCTCTTTTCGAGAATCACTACACCAAGTATCTTGGAAACTAATCTTAACTTCCATATCTATGCCTATGACAGGGATGATAATGGGATATCTCATAGCATTAATTTGCAGAAGGCCGAGTGATGTACGTAAGACCATATCTATAGAAAGTGGAATACAAAATGCAGCTGTAGCATTTAGCATTATCATGTTGTCGTTTGATATTCGAGTAAGTATTATTTACGTCAGGTAATACGTCAGGTATCAATACAAAATTTTCGAATTAATTTTCTTCTTTAGAAGCACATCACGATCCTTTTAATCCCATGGTTTTATGGTACTGCCCAATTTGTAATATGCTTACTTCTTTGTTTAATTTATTATATTTATATAAAGTACTTGAAGAAACAAAAATCTCTTGAAAAAGAAAATATCTTCGATAAGGAAGACAAAGGTGATTTTGTTATATTATATTATAATCAGTGCATTGTATAATTTTATCAACTCTGTTTTATATTTTTCAGAGATTACTAAGCTATAATATCATTATCAGTTTAGTATCATATATAAATAACATTAAATAACTTCTGTATTTTATCAAAAGATTTCTAGTTATTGAGGATGGGCAAATTATCTCAGGTATCTTATTATTATTATTATTATACTATAAATTTACTCCAAGAAGTAGTTTTATTATGTAAATTCTCAGATTTGTTAAATTATTTTTGAATCTAGTAGCAATAAAAAGCAAAATAAGTAATTAAAAATTTAAAATAATTTTAAAATCTTTTTAAAATTTTATTTTAAAACAATTTAAAATTAATTTGTTTTTTCAGATTAATAAAAATTTTACTTCAAACTACCGAAAGTTGAGAAACAATATTTTACCTGATTATTGTTTGTTGTGTTGAGAAATAAAAATAAAAATATTTTGCCTCAGAACAGAATTTCATTTCATTTGTATTTATAAAATGGAGCCTTATTGTATAATCTCCAGTTAATTATTTCATCTCGAAAATTATTTCTAATCAACCATGTGTCTTTAGTTATAATGCCAATTTCATTTGATATTGTAGTCACTAAAAGATTCTTTTTTGTTTGGCTTCGTTGAAATATGACAACGCATCAGGTGGCGATCTGCCAAAGGGAAATCAAAAATTTCCCTTCCGTAAGAACTTTTATGAAACCCCGGAACCCTCACATTATGAGCCCATTGGTCAAGCGCAAACCTGCGATGAATTACCAGTTTTTAGTGGCTTTTTGACCTCTCGTGACAGTCAGGAGGTGAGGGACGAGGCCCGACATATCCGAGACAGATTGACCAAACATAAATTCCTGGTTTTCTCCTCCAAAATTCACGGATTGGTAAGCTGATTTGTTAACTTCTTCGGACATCACACCCTACAGCCATGTAGTCAGCAATGAGCGTATTGCAATTTCTCCTTATTAGCAATGTATCATCATATAATGAGTTATTGTTTAATCTTTTACACGTCATAATTATTGTAAAGCAAATTCTATACTTGCGAAATCTTTCTTAAGTCAGATTAATAAACCAGTCAAGAACAATAAAATAGTCCGTCTCGTTTTTCTTTATGCTGTATAAAGATGCTGGCGTACTTGAATCAAGCCATATTTTTGTAGATTGGAAGCTGAATCAAAATGGCGTAACTTTATATTTAATAACTTCCCCCTAAAAAAAGATGGTACTTTCTGAATATCTTGTAATATAACGCCAGCATACGACTTAAAGGAAAGTTAGAGGGTCCAATTACACGTGCACTGACCGTAACTGTTTTTAATTTCACCTCTTGTGTATGAATAAATGGGATCTTTTGTAGATAATTGGCACCATAAAATTATCTAAATAAAACTTATTTGAAGAACGCAATTTTAAAATTAAATGTTGGGGAGATTTTCTGTGTGTATGGATGTTTTGATTTTAATTTAATTTGTATTTATTAAGTGCATCACTCAGATGTATTACACTACATCGACAAAGACACATACAAGATAAGAAGTAACAGAAAATAAAATAAGATAAAAATGTACAACATGCATACATAAATCGATTATTAGCTAACAGCCGTAATTCATAATGGCTGCTAAACGCTTTTTACTAACAAAAGTGATTAAATATCCATATAGTTCATTTAATACATAAAAAATATAAATTCGACTATTAACAAAGCTAAAAACTTTGTATTTGTTTTTAGCTTTGTTAATAGTCGAATTTATATTTTTTATGTATTAAATGTAAATAACGCCGGCCATGGATTTTATTATTTTTACTTAAAATCCATATAGTTCTTTGCGTGCAAAAGTATGGGCTGGACAGGACCAACTAAATCCTGAAGATGAAACTTTCAGCTTCAGCCTGAAGCGTTCTACTTCGTACATATGACAATCCTAAATGAATTGCTCCACAGTTCCGGCTTTACCAATTGCACAAGAGCAGAAGACACTGCAAGCCAAATTACGTGCCGCTAGATAACTGTTGATGTTTCCATGACCAGTTAGAATTTGAGAAAAAGCAAAGGAATAACTCTTAATGAGATTTTTGAGGAGGTCATATACTGTAGGTTAGAATAATTTGGTAACCGGTACCTTTGGTCGACGAACACCGTGATTGATTCCACTCGCTGATGAGATGTTAATAAACTATCCCAATCAGGGCATTCCTAGAATATGGCTGTAACTACAAAATTGCACATGGCCAACACATTTAGGAAAAACTGTAGGCCTATATTGTTTTTGTGAATTTGAAAACATTAAACATATTCATAAACGTAATTATAGATTTAGTTGTTAATTGATTTAATTAACTGTAATCAATGTTTTAGAGAATACTACGGCGTTACTCCGGCAAAAACTAATAACAGCAAAGATTAAGATTATCAATAAACATCTTCAAACCCGATATCCAATATAGTAACACACCAACCGAATGCCGAAAATCAATCGGGCTATTTTTATGCTTACCTCTAGTGCCAAATTGATTACGTAATTTATTTAGTAATTAGCATAAAAATAGCCCGATTGATTTTCGGCATTCGGTTGGTGTGTTACTAGATTAAGATTATCTCGCACTTTTAACCCTTTTTTCTTACTCATTCCTCCTTGTGGGCACTAAGAACACATTATTTAATCAATTATTTAAAAATTATAATTATTAATTTAGATAAGAGATGGCACCCAACCTCTACCTCTAGTAGCAAATAACTTTAGCATTAATTATTAAAAAATTAGCGGATTTATAGCCCGAGTATTAAGGCGATCGTTTGAGTGTGTATCTATGTATTTATCATAATTCATAAAAACAAGACTACAAAAAGTTAACTTAAAGTAGAAACAAGAAGAAACATAATTTATTTTTAGTTTATTGTTTATGCTATCATAAATTAATAATTGAAAATACGTTTGTGGGCTTTAGAAATACTGTAATTACATTGTCTTACAAAATTACTAGACTACTTTCTTGTAGCATAAGTAGGTTATGAAAGAATCTACCTCACAGTATACACAGAGCGGTAGTATTTTTCTGCTTTCAAGGTTTTTATCTTGTCACAATGAGTGTGGACCCAGCTGCAACACTGCACGCACTGAATCACGATACGAATAGCTACTTACTTTAACTTTAGGAACTGCATACATCCTGCCACACTCATTCAAACCGTAGCGTCAAATGGCAAAAGCATTGAATACTTGTAATTGGTCACGGGTTAGAGCCCGACGAATGGGCTAGCCACGTGGAGTTTTCTGAATATAGTTCACGTATCAACACCTAAATAAGACCCAGTTTTTCATTGAAAGGCTTCCCAGTTCATTACAAGCAGTTTGTAGCGGTCCAATTTAGGCAAATTGTAGGTGGATTCAAAAAGGTATGTTTTATCATTACATTTGTACTGTGATATACAAATAAGTACGTCATATTGTAACTAAGATAATACACTTTACATTAGTAACATTGAAAATTATGGTACTTACAGGATATATAAGAAAACTAATTTCTTATGTCAGAAAAAAATAATATTCACGCAACACTACTTTCCAGAACTAAGCGACACTGAGAGGAATGGCTTCCTCGTTATTCTAGCCTCTTCTATCTCCACTATATTAACCTAATGGAACCAACAATGACGCTGCAATATCTCTATTTTCCAAGAACCATTCCACATTAGGCAACTTTTCGGGACATACCAAAGCAAGAAAAAATTTTGAAGTTTTACTTTAAGCAAATAATAAATAATCTGAGGTCTTTAAAATGCAGATTGGATAGATAAAGGAGGAATTTTGTTTCTTAAATCAACTAGAATTTATTATCTATCTATTGTGCAAAACTTTATATTGACGAAAATAAATGTTAACAGGATAATTATTTCACAAAAATATCAGCAGATTTAAATTTAGAAATCGTACTTTTAAAGCTCACACTTGTCGCATTACCTTTAAAGTAACTTTGATTTTGTGGGGGTTGATCGCAGTAATAAATGCAATTGAAAAAGAAATAAAGGTCCTCTGGTAAAGCTTTTAACGATTTTTGCATTTTTGCAGCGTTTTACACCAATCCTTTGTGTATTCAAACACATTAAGAAAGTCTCCTAACCAATTTGTGAACAATTTGCATGTGAATAACTCCTAACAAATAGAGTTTTGTCTCATCATGTGATGATCAGATCGGGACACGCCGATAACATTAAGCGAAGTACATTAATACGGATATAATTAGTGGAAATAATGGCTTTACTAATTAACATTAGTGTTAATACTGATTAACAATTGCTGGTTAATAGTCACCATATAAAGACTGATAGCATGAAAAGACAACTTCAAACGAATACTTAACCAAAGTATGATAAAGTATAGTAAAATAAAGTAATCAAAAAATAATGATAAAGTATAGGTCCTAAAATATCAGACTCCAAAATATATTAAAATAACTTATATACAGTAAGACCCTGCTTAACGCGGGGATACGTTCCAGTAAGTTCCAGCGCTAAATGAAACAGGTCATATTAACATATAAATAATGGGGATAAGTGAAACAGAACAGAAAATAAGAAAATTTATGTTTTTTTTTGTAACATTTATTGTTAAATACTTTTCATTGCATTAATTATAGACTTATTTATTGCTGATATCGATTTTTATTCATAAAACATTCATAAAAATCAAAAAGAGTTCGAGTAAAGAAATTATGTTTGTAATGAGGAAGGTTCTTCCTCCTTTAACATCTTTTATTTTTTTGTGAAGAAGTCATCTAATGTCGTTTGCCTTTTCCTGTTTCGTTCAGCAAGCAGTTGTCGATAGCAAGACATCGCATCAATGACACTTCGTCTCGCCTTTGAACTTCTATCAAAATTTAAATCATTTTCTATAAACTGATCCATAATTTCCGTTATAGTGGCTTAAATTTTTTTTAGAAAATCCATAGAAAGTTCCTTTCACTCCCCATCTTCAGAAACGCTAATTTCGTCATTTCGTGCACCTATTATACTAATTCTTTACGATCGTTGTTGGAAAAACTTTCACCAGTTGTAACTTGTTTCTGTTTTTAAATCGATTGAACCACTATCGATTAGCTACGAAATTTTCACTCGTGTTGCCTTTTTCATTCTGAATATGGTTAAAAATTAATAATTATAATAATTAATTATAATTTATTTTGTTCATCCACTTTCAATCTTAATAACTCTTGTGTCTTTTGTCGAATATTTCTGAAATTTTGCAGGGAGATTTGTTTATGAGATACATTGCTGCTGTTAAATTTTGGTAATTAAAGATCGACCGGGTGAGGAAATAGAAGGGATCATGTGTCATATCTCGAGTAGGATCAAACTACATTAAACCTAAATACAGTATATTAAAATTTATACTTTAGCCTATTTTCCTGGATTTGGGCAATATTATTATCGGAAATACGTATTTTCTTTACTCGTATAGCCCTAATATTTTAATTTGTCACTGCTCTATATTCTTATATAGAAAATATTCATAATTATAACGTTAATTTTAAAGTATTTCAGATACATTTTGTACACTTTCAGATACTGTAAACATCCATAAGATGAATGAAAGTGAAGACTCGTTTAAGATAAATTTAACTTCCAATTATACAAATGTTATTCATTTTAATGAAGATTTCAAAAAAGCTCAAGATATCTTAATAATTATATTAATTATATTAATTATGATTGCAATGGGAGCAGATATTTGTTTTAAGCAGGTGAGTAGACGACAGGAATTATATTTACTCTACAGGGTGTCCCAAAAGTCTGGATGTACGGTACGTTAAATAACGTGGAGATATTCATTACATTACTTGTGTCCAGACTTTTGGGACACCCTGTATTTAAATTGCTGAAAAGTGTTTCTTTTTTGTAGATTTGGATGCATATTCGAATACCATTTGGTCCCCTGATAGGTTTATTTTGTCAGTTTGTAATGATGCCTTTAGTAGGTTTTATTTATAATAAAATATTTAAGTTTCAATCAGGAATAGCAACGGGATTACTTATTATATCGTGTTGTCCCGGTGGTGCAGTCTCTAATGCATTTACTTACTTTTTAAATGGTGACGTTTCTTTAAGGTGAGTCTCTAAAGCTTTGTTAATTAAAAGTTTACGTATTATAAGCATTTACATTATAATAATTTTCAGTGTTACTATGACTACAATATCTACCATTCTAGCATTGGGTATGATGCCTCTTAATATGTGGATATACGCAATTAGAACAGAAGCAAATACGATAATAATACCCTATAAAAACATAGGTTTGTCTTTGATTATAATTACTTCTCCTATATTATTAGGTATGGTTATAAAATGGAAAATTCCAAAGATATCTGCATACGTCACGAAGGTAGATTCTATATTTTTGACCAATTATTATTATTCTAAAGTAATTTATTTTAATTATTATCATTTTTCATTGATAGGGAGGAAGTGCGTTAGGTTTTACGATTCTTACTACGATACTAATATTAGAGTTTATCGCTTATCACGAATCGTTTAATCAAGTATCCTGGAAGCTTATCGTAACTTCTATATGTATGCCTATAACTGGAATGATATTGGGATATTTAGTTGCATTTATATGTAAAAGACCACAGAATATATGTATAACAATAGCAATTGAGAGTGGGATTCAAAATGCAGCCGTAGCATTTAGTGTTATCGTTTTATCCTTCGATATCAGAGTAAGTTTTTTTGTGTCCTTCATACACACATGTCCAAAACTTAAGGACGACACATTGCTAGCGATGTTAGCTAGAAAAAGTCTTAGTGTCGAGCCTGTCACGATGTCGTAAGTGCTGTAACACTGTTCGAAGTGGACATATTCCATACCGACAGGTCTCTCTGCCCAGGTATTAGTAAGCACGTTTCATGTACGTCCAATTGCTGTATATATCTTTCTCATCAAAGACTTCATTTTATTGCATTGATTTATAAACTCCTACATGCAGGTGTGTATTACCGTGTTATACTTAATAGGGTTACTCTCTATTCGTGTAAAAATGTCGTCGTTCTTAGATTTTGGACTAGTGTGTATAAATATTTTGTTTATTTTATTAATATTCCTGAATTTTTATCTACTTTTAGAAGCATATTTCAATTCTTTTAATTCCCTGGTTTTATGGGACAGCGCAAGTTCTTATATGCGGTTTTCTTAGTATAATTTGCTATATTTATAAGAAATGCCTGAACAAACAGCAACCTGAAGAATATGTAAAAAGTATTGAAAACAAAGGTAGTTACATTCAATTACATATAAAACTAGCTATTAAATTTATATATAAAACTTTATTTTCCAAACGTTTCAGACATTCAGGTGAAGCAAACAGACGAAACGACAAGATTTTAATTGTTTCATTTTAATTATTGGCTCACATATTTTAAAATAGTTTTAATTTTTGAAAGGCCAAGCGGTGTAGGGCACTAATGGATTCTGGTTCAAATTCAGATGGTTCAGAAATGAGCCAGATGTATCGTGTTACTATTTTACTAGTTTAGTATTCGGCTACCTCCATTGTAAGTTTGGCCAAAACTTTCATTCCTTTTAGTATCCTCATGGCGAAGGGCTAAAGTTAAGATTAAATATATATATTTTTAACTTTATTAATTTATAATGTGTTTTATTCGGTGGTAGACAATGAATATTATTAAATATTCTGTGGGAAAAGCATATTTTTTTTTAGTATTATATATGACTATCTTTCATATAAGAAGCTCTAAGAAATCCAAGTTTCAATGCGGGTCGGTGTCTGAAAATTCCTTTTAGATTTCAGAAATAATAAAACATAAATTTCTGTAGATAACTGTGTATCATTAGTCATATTTTGTTCATTTTACTTAAAAACAATAAAATTATCCATTGTTTTCTGCTGCTATTCTGGACTTAATACTGTTTTATTACAGTTTTTATTATGCACTAGCTGTTACATGCGGCTTCGCTCGCGCGGATTTTGCAAGCAAACCCTCTTTACATTCAATATTTCAACAACCGTAGTAATTGTTATTTAACACCTACCGCTGAGAATGATGAGAATTTCTGAGAATCAAACAAACTATTTTCAATTTTATCAATTTTCTGGAACGTTTACAATCGTTCTATAATCGAACCAATATGCAAAAAGAAACTGGAATTTAAAACGGTTCGAACATTTGGTTAAAAAATCGAAATATATAAATATATTTATAATAATGTCTGAAATGTTATCAATTTAATACCCCAAGTACTTAATGAAGACTAAACGTGATTAAAAACAAAAAATCCGCATCTAAAATAGTACAGTAGAAGCCTTTCTTCAGGTTAGACTGCTTTCCCTCTCCCCCCGCTGGGGAATTTCGAAAAATCCCTTTTTGTGTGCGTTTTCATGACGTACCCTAATTGTGTACCAAATTTCACCTCTAGGTTCTGGAACATTCTAGAAAAAACTGGAACATTCTCATTGAAACGTCACACATTTTCGAAGTCAACCACTTTCAAACCCCATATCTCTCACACTCTTATAGCTATCGAGACGCAACCACCATAGTGAACGATGGGAGACTTGGGGCTACTACCACACACAAACACCATTCATGTGTGATGAGTAGGTGAAAGGTAAAAACTCTATCTTTACCTTTAAAATTAAGCCTTTTTGCCTTTTTTAATAATAAATAATAATATAAAAGTTATTTTTATATAACATCTCGTAACAGACAGCGCCTTATACAATTTTAACATTGAGCTAGTGTTGTAGTGTTTTTAAATTTAAATATTTTTTAAACGGAGATTTTTATCATTAACAAAGTTTCTCTTTTAAACTTTTAATGTTACTTAACTTTTATATTTTTTTATAATTGAAAATGATCTGATTTCCCAATGATCCTTTTAATCTCCTGTTGAGAGTCGAGCAAGAACCCTTGCCAGATTTTTTATACCACAAATAACCTTTTTATATTATAAAATTTCATTTAAAAATATTATTTGTAGATTTGTGATGCACATTTCCAAAAAGGTGATACAACTCCCTCATTTAAGAACTTTCTTATTGTCTCTTGCAAACACTTTTGAAGATTTACTTTATAAATGAAGTTTGTGAGAATGGTTTTCTTTTCTATTGATCTGGTGTTTGCTCCTAGCTTCTATTTGCAGTTTGTGTAATACAAAAATGCATGCGAATATAGAAAATTTAATATATTCTTATTTTAACAAATATCTCCAAATTTCTTCTTTAATTTTGCATTTAAAAACTAAATAAATTTATACTTGTACTGTTTCATATCAACCATTCACATAGCTTTTTATTTTGAAAACTATTACTTAAAGCCTTTAATTATATGTCAGAGTAACCTCTAAATAAAAAGATGTTCTATTTCACATTATAAAAGGAATTCCTGACTTTAACTCGCAGTTTACAGCACGTAGATAACATGAAATCTATGTCGTGACCTTGGAACTATGGACCCAATATGGTGCTCCGTAAGGAAATGATGTTCTGATAGACCTTGAATGCGCCCTTGGTGTCATCTGTTGAAAAATATAAAAATTTACCTTCACTTTAATTTATATATTAATTTTATCGAAAGGAAATACATCGGAGACCTTATAAATTAAATGCACCTTTTATCATTATACGAGTAATAGTTTCGAAATAAAGAATATACGTATTTTTTATTTTTATTTACACGAGAAATATTCATCAGTTTTTAAAATAAATAATTAAAATAATTTAATATTAGTTGTTTTTTTAATTATATAAACAATAAACATATTGTTAGGTTAATGACCTTATTAAAGGGCACGAAAATAGCTAACGTCCTTCCTAAACAGATACTAACATGGTATATTTTTATATATAATAATTATAAATTTATTATTATTATTTTCTAGACAAAATCCAGGATAAGTTTAACGATATAAAAATTTGAAAACAAGAATTTTTAATTAAAAATTCCTACCAAAACAAATTAAAGTTTTGTTACATATCACATGATTCTTTTTACATTCACGTCATTAGCTGAATTTAAAATATTACTATTTTACTCGTTTAAACAGATAAATATTTTTAATATATCCATTTATTCCTGTGTCGACCGAGCGAATAAAGTAGACTGTCACGTGTTTGCACCTCACCAGGTTTTCTACATGTCTTCTGTTTAAGTGAATAAGTCGACACGGGAATGCCCTTCTTTGCAGATCCCCAAGTGTTGAGCCGTTTTAATGCTTCAACCCCATTTATTTTTCTGTCGTTTTAGGTGACCTATAAACTGAAAATAAAATAAATATTATTAAAATGAGTGATAAAACTTAACGATAATATTCTGATATGCTATAGTAAAGTCTGCGCTTTGAAGAAGCATAATGAATAGAACTGAAGATTCTCTCTATTCAAATTCAACAGTTAATTTTACAAACAATACAATCAATGACGATCTTCGTGCAGCTCATAATGTTCTCATGATTATTTTGATCACATCGATTATGATTGCAATGGGTGCTGATATTTGTTGGAAACAGGTAAATAAATTGAATGCTCTCTTAATTATATATAGAAAATTGCTCGAAAATGTGATTTTGTAGATTTGGATGCACGTTCGAAAGCCATTTGGACCAATAATAGGTGTCCTTTGCCAATTTGTGATGATGCCATTGGTCGGTTTCATATATAATAAGATATTCAAATTTGAACCTAGAATAGCAGCGGGATTACTTATAATGTCGTGTTGCCCAGGAGGGGCAGTATCTAATGCTTTTGCTTATTATTTAAACGGTGATGTTTCTTTAAGGTATGTTTTGTTTGTTTATATGTCTTAAATATATATATTTAAATTACTTAATGATAATTAATGTTTTAGTGTCACCATGACTACTGTATCTACCATTTTAGCATTAGGCATGATGCCTCTTAATGTTTGGATATATGGAATCAGGATAGAATCTAATGCTTTAATTATACCTTATAATAATATTGCTTTATCATTGATAATCGTCACCTCTCCAGTGTTGGTAGGTATGGCAATTAAATGGAAAGTTCCGAAAGTATCTGTCTATGTTACTAAGGTTAGATATGTTTTTTTTTTTTTTAATTATATTTTATAACAGTAGAATATGAGAGTTTTGTTATTTATGCAGTTTTTGTGCACTTTCAGGGAGGAAGTGCTATAGGTTTTGCACTTATTATAGTTGTATTAACAATAGATTTTGTCGTGTATCAAGAGTTTTTATGTCATATATCATGGAGACTTATTGTAACATGTATAATTATGCCTATAACCGGGATTCTATTGGGATATTTCATAGCTTTTATTTGTAGAAGATCAAATGCCATTTGTAAAACCATAGCGATTGAAAGCGGAATACAAAATGCGGCTGTAGTGTTTAGTGTTATTATTTTATCTTTTGATATGAAGGTAAGTTTTTTAAATTATTTAATTATATAATAATTAATGACTTATAATAATAATTTTGTATTTACAGAAATATTTTACAGTTCTTTTAATTCCATTGTTTTATGCAACGTTTCAATTTGTTATATTTTCTGTCTTTTGTTTCTCTTATAACATTTATGTTAAGTGTAAAAAGAAAAACGAAGCGGTTCAGAACACGGAAAACAACTTAATCTGAAAAAGTGATTTTATTTGGAAAAATATGTTTAAATTTTGTTTTTTATTTTAAATTTCTGTGCAATGTTAAATTTAATGATGTTAAAATACATTTTGGATTAAAAATAAACTGTTTTGAAACTGTTCATCGCAGAGATTTAATTCCGTTTAGATCGAAAGAAAAGGGATTAATTGTAACAAAGCCTGATTTTCATATTTTTTAAAAATTGTATTTGGAAAACCTTTAAAATTTTCAAATTTGATCAGACAGTAATGGGCAACATATTGCGTGCCTCATTGTACTAGTTATAGTGCAATGAGACACCATAGTTTGGTTTATAGTTCCATAAAAAAAAAAGGGGGGGAAACATTTTATCGGCGAGAAAATAACTTTTTATCGTTTACTAAAGATAAATTATTATTGAAACGGTGGATTCATTATATTCAACAAGGTCCAGCAAAGGAATTTCATGTAGGCCTATTTAGTCCAGCGGCGCCCGCAGTCTGTACGAAAACCCCTTTCGTACAGACAAGCTTAAAAAAAAGCGGGATGTCACAAGCTTAAAAAAAAAGACGTCATACATAATGCAAGAAGCTTCAAACTATGATTAAATATTATAAATTAAATTACATATTATATTTTCATCTATTTTTGAAATTTAGAGACCCAATGCTAAGAAATTCCTTAAGTCCATTCGTATTTCTACGTTAGAATAATTTAATATTACTAATACAGTCGTCCAAATAAACGATACGGTTAAAATGCCAGTCTACTACTGCTGTGGGGCACCCAGAATCAAATCCAACAAGCAATCCCAGGAAGTTTTCATGAGCAATCAGTTTCTGGTTACGGGTGTCCGGGATCAAAAAGGATGGACCACCGGAAACGTCTCCATTGTGCGCTTTGTCTAACCCATGATGATATAGAATAAAGGCCCTTTTAGCAAGGTAAAAATCATCAATACTCAAACCACTAAATTAACACCTAAATAGGGAGCCAGTTTTCCCATAGAAAGATCTCCCAAGAGGCTCTTTAAATTTAAGAAATGTTTGTGTTCATATTCACTATTGTGATAAGTCCTATCATAAATAACTGGTTTAATTTAATAGAAACATTTAAATAATCTTTCATTATATACAGTGTAGAATATAAAAAATACAAATTAAATAAATAATATTGAAACGTATGATAAAGTTCAATGATAAACGCCATAACGATACACATTGCTGCAGTTGAATGCTCTGAAAAGACATGATAAACTGGACTGAAAATTCTCTCCATTCAAATTCATCAAATAATTTTAGAAATTCTACAAATGAACGTCTTAAAATAGCACAAGACGTTCTAGTAATTACTTTCATGGCATTGCTTATGATTGCAATGGGTGCGAATATCTGCTGGAAACAGGTAAATAAATTAAATTATTGCTTAATTGTACGCAGTAAATAGTTTTAACGAGTAAATTTATAGATTTGGATGCACGTTCGAAAGCCATTTGGACCAATAATAGGTCTACTATGTCAATTTGTGATGGTACCATTGGTCGGTTTCATATATAATAAGATATTCAAATTTGAACCTGAAAAATCAGCGGCAATACTTATTATGTCGTGTTGCCCTGGAGGTGCTATGTCTAATGGTTTTGTTTATTATGTAAACGGTGACGTTTCTTTAAGGTAAGTAATAAAATATTATAAATTTATATTGTAAATATTTAATTATAATTATTAATTTAGTTAAAGAGATGGTGCCTGAAGTCTACCTCTACCTCTAGTAGCAAATAACTTTAGCATTAATTATTAAAAAATTAGCGGATTTATAGCCCGAGTATTAAGGCGATCGTTTGAGTGTGTATCTATGTATTTATCATAATTCATAAAAACAAGACTACAAAAAGTTAACTTAAAGTAGAAACAAGAAGAAACATAATTTATTTTTAGTTTATTGTTTATGCTATCATAAATTAATAATTGAAAATACGTTTGTGGGCTTTAGAAATACTGTAATTACATTGTCTTACAAAATTACTAGACTACTTTCTTGTAGCATAAGTAGGTTATGAAAGAATCTACCTCACAGTATACACAGAGCGGTAGTATTTTTCTGCTTTCAAGGTTTTTATCTTGTCACAATGAGTGTGGACCCAGCTGCAACACTGCACGCACTGAATCACGATACGAATAGCTACTTACTTTAACTTTAGGAACTGCATACATCCTGCCACACTCATTCAAACCGTAGCGTCAAATGGCAAAAGCATTGAATACTTGTAATTGGTCACGGGTTAGAGCCCGACGAATGGGCTAGCCACGTGGAGTTTTCTGAATATAGTTCACGTATCAACACCTAAATAAGACCCAGTTTTTCATTGAAAGGCTTCCCAGTTCATTACAAGCAGTTTGTAGCGGTCCAATTTAGGCAAATTGTAGGTGGATTCAAAAAGGTATGTTTTATCATTACATTTGTACTGTGATATACAAATAAGTACGTCATATTGTAACTAAGATAATACACTTTACATTAGTAACATTGAAAATTATGGTACTTACAGGATATATAAGGAAACTAATTTCTTATGTCAGAAAAAAATAATATTCACGCAACACTACTTTCCAGAACTAAGCGACACTGAGAGGAATGGCTTCCTCGTTATTCTAGCCTCTTCTACCTCCACTATATTAACCTAATGGAACCAACAATGACGCTGCAATATCTCTATTTTCCAAGAACCATTCCACATTAGGCAACTTTTCGGGACATACCAAAGCAAGAAAAAATTTTGAAGTTTTACTTTAAGCAAATAATAAATAATCTAAGGTCTTTAAAATGCAGATTGGATAGATAAAGGAGGAATTTTGTTTCTTAAATCAACTAGAATTTATTATCTATCTATTGTGCAAAACTTTATATTGACGAAAATAAATGTTAACAGGATAATTATTTCACAAAAATATCAGCAGATTTAAATTTATAAATCGTACTTTTAAAGCTCACACTTGTCGCATTACCTTTAAAGTAACTTTGATTTTGTGGGGGTTGATCGCAGTAATAAATGCAATTGAAAAAGAAGGTCCTCTGGTAAAGCTTTTAACGATTTTTGCATTTTTGCAGCGTTTTACACCAATCCTTTGTGTATTCAAACACATTAAGAAAGTCTCCTAACCAATTTGTGAACAATTTGCATGTGAATAACTCCTAACAAATAGAGTTTTGTCTCATCATGTGATGATCAGATCGGGACACGCCGATAACATTAAGCGAAGTACATTAATACGGATATAATTAGTGGAAATAATGGCTTTACTAATTAACATTAGTGTTAATACTGATTAACAATTGCTGGTTAATAGTCACCATATAAAGACTGATAGCATGAAAAGACAACTTCAAACGAATACTTAACCAAAGTATGATAAAGTATAGTAAAATAAAGTAATCAAAAAATAATGATAAAGTATAGGTCCTAAAATATCAGACTCCAAAATATATTAAAATAACTTATATACAGTAAGACCCTGCTTAACGCGGGGATACGTTCCAGTAAGTTCCAGCGCTAAATGAAACAGGTCATATTAACATATAAATAATGGGGATAAGTGAAACAGAACAGAAAATAAGAAAATTTATGTTTTTTTTTGTAACATTTATTGTTAAATACTTTTCATTGCATTAATTTATTTATTGCTTATTTATGACTTATTTATTGCTGATATCGATTTTTATTCATAAAACATTCATAAAAATCAAAAAGAGTTCGAGTAAAGAAATTATGTTTGTAATGAGGAAGGTTCTTCCTCCTTTAACATCTTTTATTTTTTTGTGAAGAAGTCATCTAATGTCGTTTGCCTTTTCCTGTTTCGTTCAGCAAGCAGTTGTCGATAGCAAGACATCGCATCAATGACACTTCGTCTCGCCTTTGAACTTCTATCAAAATTTAAATCATTTTCTATAAACTGATCCATAATTTCCGTTATAGTGGCTTAAATTTTTTTTAGAAAATCCATAGAAAGTTCCTTTCACTCCCCATCTTCAGAAACGCTAATTTCGTCATTTCGTGCACCTATTATACTAATTCTTTACGATCGTTGTTGGAAAAACTTTCACCAGTTGTAACTTGTTTCTGTTTTTAAATCGATTGAACCACTATCGATTAGCTACGAAATTTTCACTCGTGTTGCCTTTTTCATTCTGAATATGGTTAAAAATTAATAATTATAATAATTAATTATAATTTATTTTGTTCATCCACTTTCAATCTTAATAACTCTTGTGTCTTTTGTCGAATATTTCTGAAATTTTGCAGGGAGATTTGTTTATGAGATACATTGCTGCTGTTAAATTTTGGTAATTAAAGATCGACCGGGTGAGGAAATAGAAGGGATCATGTGTCATATCTCGAGTAGGATCAAACTACATTAAACCTAAATACAGTATATTAAAATTTATACTTTAGCCTATTTTCCTGGATTTGGGCAATATTATTATCGGAAATACGTATTTTCTTTACTCGTATAGCCCTAATATTTTAATTTGTCACTGCTCTATATTCTTATATAGAAAATATTCATAATTATAACGTTAATTTTAAAGTATTTCAGATACATTTTGTACACTTTCAGATACTGTAAACATCCATAAGATGAATGAAAGTGAAGACTCGTTTAAGATAAATTTAACTTCCAATTATACAAATGTTATTCATTTTAATGAAGATTTCAAAAAAGCTCAAGATATCTTAATAATTATATTAATTATATTAATTATGATTGCAATGGGAGCAGATATTTGTTTTAAGCAGGTGAGTAGACGACAGGAATTATATTTACTCTACAGGGTGTCCCAAAAGTCTGGATGTACGGTACGTTAAATAACGTGGAGATATTCATTACATTACTTGTGTCCAGACTTTTGGGACACCCTGTATTTAAATTGCTGAAAAGTGTTTCTTTTTTGTAGATTTGGATGCATATTCGAATACCATTTGGTCCCCTGATAGGTTTATTTTGTCAGTTTGTAATGATGCCTTTAGTAGGTTTTATTTATAATAAAATATTTAAGTTTCAATCAGGAATAGCAACGGGATTACTTATTATATCGTGTTGTCCCGGTGGTGCAGTCTCTAATGCATTTACTTACTTTTTAAATGGTGACGTTTCTTTAAGGTGAGTCTCTAAAGCTTTGTTAATTAAAAGTTTACGTATTATAAGCATTTACATTATAATAATTTTCAGTGTTACTATGACTACAATATCTACCATTCTAGCATTGGGTATGATGCCTCTTAATATGTGGATATACGCAATTAGAACAGAAGCAAATACGATAATAATACCCTATAAAAACATAGGTTTGTCTTTGATTATAATTACTTCTCCTATATTATTAGGTATGGTTATAAAATGGAAAATTCCAAAGATATCTGCATACGTCACGAAGGTAGATTCTATATTTTTGACCAATTATTATTATTCTAAAGTAATTTATTTTAATTATTATCATTTTTCATTGATAGGGAGGAAGTGCGTTAGGTTTTACGATTCTTACTACGATACTAATATTAGAGTTTATCGCTTATCACGAATCGTTTAATCAAGTATCCTGGAAGCTTATCGTAACTTCTATATGTATGCCTATAACTGGAATGATATTGGGATATTTAGTTGCATTTATATGTAAAAGACCACAGAATATATGTATAACAATAGCAATTGAGAGTGGGATTCAAAATGCAGCCGTAGCATTTAGTGTTATCGTTTTATCCTTCGATATCAGAGTAAGTTTTTTTGTGTCCTTCATACACACATGTCCAAAACTTAAGGACGACACATTGCTAGCGATGTTAGCTAGAAAAAGTCTTAGTGTCGAGCCTGTCACGATGTCGTAAGTGCTGTAACACTGTTCGAAGTGGACATATTCCATACCGACAGGTCTCTCTGCCCAGGTATTAGTAAGCACGTTTCATGTACGTCCAATTGCTGTATATATCTTTCTCATCAAAGACTTCATTTTATTGCATTGATTTATAAACTCCTACATGCAGGTGTGTATTACCGTGTTATACTTAATAGGGTTACTCTCTATTCGTGTAAAAATGTCGTCGTTCTTAGATTTTGGACTAGTGTGTATAAATATTTTGTTTATTTTATTAATATTCCTGAATTTTTATCTACTTTTAGAAGCATATTTCAATTCTTTTAATTCCCTGGTTTTATGGGACAGCGCAAGTTCTTATATGCGGTTTTCTTAGTATAATTTGCTATATTTATAAGAAATGCCTGAACAAACAGCAACCTGAAGAATATGTAAAAAGTATTGAAAACAAAGGTAGTTACATTCAATTACATATAAAACTAGCTATTAAATTTATATATAAAACTTTATTTTCCAAACGTTTCAGACATTCAGGTGAAGCAAACAGACGAAACGACAAGATTTTAATTGTTTCATTTTAATTATTGGCTCACATATTTTAAAATAGTTTTAATTTTTGAAAGGCCAAGCGGTGTAGGGCACTAATGGATTCTGGTTCAAATTCAGATGGTTCAGAAATGAGCCAGATGTATCGTGTTACTATTTTACTAGTTTAGTATTCGGCTACCTCCATTGTAAGTTTGGCCAAAACTTTCATTCCTTTTAGTATCCTCATGGCGAAGGGCTAAAGTTAAGATTAAATATATATATTTTTAACTTTATTAATTTATAATGTGTTTTATTCGGTGGTAGACAATGAATATTATTAAATATTCTGTGGGAAAAGCATATTTTTTTTTAGTATTATATATGACTATCTTTCATATAAGAAGCTCTAAGAAATCCAAGTTTCAATGCGGGTCGGTGTCTGAAAATTCCTTTTAGATTTCAGAAATAATAAAACATAAATTTCTGTAGATAACTGTGTATCATTAGTCATATTTTGTTCATTTTACTTAAAAACAATAAAATTATCCATTGTTTTCTGCTGCTATTCTGGACTTAATACTGTTTTATTACAGTTTTTATTATGCACTAGCTGTTACATGCGGCTTCGCTCGCGCGGATTTTGCAAGCAAACCCTCTTTACATTCAATATTTCAACAACCGTAGTAATTGTTATTTAACACCTACCGCTGAGAATGATGAGAATTTCTGAGAATCAAACAAACTATTTTCAATTTTATCAATTTTCTGGAACGTTTACAATCGTTCTATAATCGAACCAATATGCAAAAAGAAACTGGAATTTAAAACGGTTCGAACATTTNTAGCTGAATTTAAAATATTACTATTTTACTCGTTTAAACAGATAAATATTTTTAATATATCCATTTATTCCTGTGTCGACCGAGCGAATAAAGTAGACTGTCACGTGTTTGCACCTCACCAGGTTTTCTACATGTCTTCTGTTTAAGTGAATAAGTCGACACGGGAATGCCCTTCTTTGCAGATCCCCAAGTGTTGAGCCGTTTTAATGCTTCAACCCCATTTATTTTTCTGTCGTTTTAGGTGACCTATAAACTGAAAATAAAATAAATATTATTAAAATGAGTGATAAAACTTAACGATAATATTCTGATATGCTATAGTAAAGTCTGCGCTTTGAAGAAGCATAATGAATAGAACTGAAGATTCTCTCTATTCAAATTCAACAGTTAATTTTACAAACAATACAATCAATGACGATCTTCGTGCAGCTCATAATGTTCTCATGATTATTTTGATCACATCGATTATGATTGCAATGGGTGCTGATATTTGTTGGAAACAGGTAAATAAATTGAATGCTCTCTTAATTATATATAGAAAATTGCTCGAAAATGTGATTTTGTAGATTTGGATGCACGTTCGAAAGCCATTTGGACCAATAATAGGTGTCCTTTGCCAATTTGTGATGATGCCATTGGTCGGTTTCATATATAATAAGATATTCAAATTTGAACCTAGAATAGCAGCGGGATTACTTATAATGTCGTGTTGCCCAGGAGGGGCAGTATCTAATGCTTTTGCTTATTATTTAAACGGTGATGTTTCTTTAAGGTATGTTTTGTTTGTTTATATGTCTTAAATATATATATTTAAATTACTTAATGATAATTAATGTTTTAGTGTCACCATGACTACTGTATCTACCATTTTAGCATTAGGCATGATGCCTCTTAATGTTTGGATATATGGAATCAGGATAGAATCTAATGCTTTAATTATACCTTATAATAATATTGCTTTATCATTGATAATCGTCACCTCTCCAGTGTTGGTAGGTATGGCAATTAAATGGAAAGTTCCGAAAGTATCTGTCTATGTTACTAAGGTTAGATATGTTTTTTTTTTTTTTAATTATATTTTATAACAGTAGAATATGAGAGTTTTGTTATTTATGCAGTTTTTGTGCACTTTCAGGGAGGAAGTGCTATAGGTTTTGCACTTATTATAGTTGTATTAACAATAGATTTTGTCGTGTATCAAGAGTTTTTATGTCATATATCATGGAGACTTATTGTAACATGTATAATTATGCCTATAACCGGGATTCTATTGGGATATTTCATAGCTTTTATTTGTAGAAGATCAAATGCCATTTGTAAAACCATAGCGATTGAAAGCGGAATACAAAATGCGGCTGTAGTGTTTAGTGTTATTATTTTATCTTTTGATATGAAGGTAAGTTTTTTAAATTATTTAATTATATAATAATTAATGACTTATAATAATAATTTTGTATTTACAGAAATATTTTACAGTTCTTTTAATTCCATTGTTTTATGCAACGTTTCAATTTGTTATATTTTCTGTCTTTTGTTTCTCTTATAACATTTATGTTAAGTGTAAAAAGAAAAACGAAGCGGTTCAGAACACGGAAAACAACTTAATCTGAAAAAGTGATTTTATTTGGAAAAATATGTTTAAATTTTGTTTTTTATTTTAAATTTCTGTGCAATGTTAAATTTAATGATGTTAAAATACATTTTGGATTAAAAATAAACTGTTTTGAAACTGTTCATCGCAGAGATTTAATTCCGTTTAGATCGAAAGAAAAGGGATTAATTGTAACAAAGCCTGATTTTCATATTTTTTAAAAATTGTATTTGGAAAACCTTTAAAATTTTCAAATTTGATCAGACAGTAATGGGCAACATATTGCGTGCCTCATTGTACTAGTTATAGTGCAATGAGACACCATAGTTTGGTTTATAGTTCCATAAAAAAAAAAGGGGGGGAAACATTTTATCGGCGAGAAAATAACTTTTTATCGTTTACTAAAGATAAATTATTATTGAAACGGTGGATTCATTATATTCAACAAGGTCCAGCAAAGGAATTTCATGTAGGCCTATTTAGTCCAGCGGCGCCCGCAGTCTGTACGAAAACCCCTTTCGTACAGACAAGCTTAAAAAAAAGCGGGATGTCACAAGCTTAAAAAAAAAGACGTCATACATAATGCAAGAAGCTTCAAACTATGATTAAATATTATAAATTAAATTACATATTATATTTTCATCTATTTTTGAAATTTAGAGACCCAATGCTAAGAAATTCCTTAAGTCCATTCGTATTTCTACGTTAGAATAATTTAATATTACTAATACAGTCGTCCAAATAAACGATACGGTTAAAATGCCAGTCTACTACTGCTGTGGGGCACCCAGAATCAAATCCAACAAGCAATCCCAGGAAGTTTTCATGAGCAATCAGTTTCTGGTTACGGGTGTCCGGGATCAAAAAGGATGGACCACCGGAAACGTCTCCATTGTGCGCTTTGTCTAACCCATGATGATATAGAATAAAGGCCCTTTTAGCAAGGTAAAAATCATCAATACTCAAACCACTAAATTAACACCTAAATAGGGAGCCAGTTTTCCCATAGAAAGATCTCCCAAGAGGCTCTTTAAATTTAAGAAATGTTTGTGTTCATATTCACTATTGTGATAAGTCCTATCATAAATAACTGGTTTAATTTAATAGAAACATTTAAATAATCTTTCATTATATACAGTGTAGAATATAAAAAATACAAATTAAATAAATAATATTGAAACGTATGATAAAGTTCAATGATAAACGCCATAACGATACACATTGCTGCAGTTGAATGCTCTGAAAAGACATGATAAACTGGACTGAAAATTCTCTCCATTCAAATTCATCAAATAATTTTAGAAATTCTACAAATGAACGTCTTAAAATAGCACAAGACGTTCTAGTAATTACTTTCATGGCATTGCTTATGATTGCAATGGGTGCGAATATCTGCTGGAAACAGGTAAATAAATTAAATTATTGCTTAATTGTACGCAGTAAATAGTTTTAACGAGTAAATTTATAGATTTGGATGCACGTTCGAAAGCCATTTGGACCAATAATAGGTCTACTATGTCAATTTGTGATGGTACCATTGGTCGGTTTCATATATAATAAGATATTCAAATTTGAACCTGAAAAATCAGCGGCAATACTTATTATGTCGTGTTGCCCTGGAGGTGCTATGTCTAATGGTTTTGTTTATTATGTAAACGGTGACGTTTCTTTAAGGTAAGTAATAAAATATTATAAATTTATATTGTAAATATTTAATTATAATTATTTTCAGTGTTGCTATTGTTGCAATATCTACCATTTTACTATTTGTCATGATGCCCCTTAATCTTTGGATATACGCAATCAGAACAGAATCTAATGCGTTAATTATACCATACAAGAGTATAGTTATATCATTGATAATCATTACCTTGCCTGTACTGATAGGTATGGTAATTAGATGGAAAGCTCCAGCGATATTTGTCTATGTCACTAAGGTTAAACGATATTTATTATTTTATCTCGCATTAAAATAAGTAAATATAATTATATAAATTCTTAATTTTATTGCAGGGAGGAACTGCTCTAGGTTTTATCTACCATTTTAGCATTAGGCATGATGCCTCTTAATGTTTGGATATATGGAATCAGGATAGAATCTAATGCTTTAATTATACCTTATAATAATATTGCTTTATCATTGATAATCGTCACCTCTCCAGTGTTGGTAGGTATGGCAATTAAATGGAAAGTTCCGAAAGTATCTGTCTATGTTACTAAGGTTAGATATGTTTTTTTTTTTTTAATTATATTTTATAACAGTAGAATATGAGAGTTTTGTTATTTATGCAGTTTTTGTGCACTTTCAGGGAGGAAGTGCTATAGGTTTTGCACTTATTATAGTTGTATTAACAATAGATTTTGTCGTGTATCAAGAGTTTTTATGTCATATATCATGGAGACTTATTGTAACATGTATAATTATGCCTATAACCGGGATTCTATTGGGATATTTCATAGCTTTTATTTGTAGAAGATCAAATGCCATTTGTAAAACCATAGCGATTGAAAGCGGAATACAAAATGCGGCTGTAGTGTTTAGTGTTATTATTTTATCTTTTGATATGAAGGTAAGTTTTTTAAATTATTTAATTATATAATAATTAATGACTTATAATAATAATTTTGTATTTACAGAAATATTTTACAGTTCTTTTAATTCCATTGTTTTATGCAACGTTTCAATTTGTTATATTTTCTGTCTTTTGTTTCTCTTATAACATTTATGTTAAGTGTAAAAAGAAAAACGAAGCGGTTCAGAACACGGAAAACAACTTAATCTGAAAAAGTGATTTTATTTGGAAAAATATGTTTAAATTTTGTTTTTTATTTTAAATTTCTGTGCAATGTTAAATTTAATGATGTTAAAATACATTTTGGATTAAAAATAAACTGTTTTGAAACTGTTCATCGCAGAGATTTAATTCCGTTTAGATCGAAAGAAAAGGGATTAATTGTAACAAAGCCTGATTTTCATATTTTTTAAAAATTGTATTTGGAAAACCTTTAAAATTTTCAAATTTGATCAGACAGTAATGGGCAACATATTGCGTGCCTCATTGTACTAGTTATAGTGCAATGAGACACCATAGTTTGGTTTATAGTTCCATAAAAAAAAAAGGGGGGGAAACATTTTATCGGCGAGAAAATAACTTTTTATCGTTTACTAAAGATAAATTATTATTGAAACGGTGGATTCATTATATTCAACAAGGTCCAGCAAAGGAATTTCATGTAGGCCTATTTAGTCCAGCGGCGCCCGCAGTCTGTACGAAAACCCCTTTCGTACAGACAAGCTTAAAAAAAAGCGGGATGTCACAAGCTTAAAAAAAAAGACGTCATACATAATGCAAGAAGCTTCAAACTATGATTAAATATTATAAATTAAATTACATATTATATTTTCATCTATTTTTGAAATTTAGAGACCCAATGCTAAGAAATTCCTTAAGTCCATTCGTATTTCTACGTTAGAATAATTTAATATTACTAATACAGTCGTCCAAATAAACGATACGGTTAAAATGCCAGTCTACTACTGCTGTGGGGCACCCAGAATCAAATCCAACAAGCAATCCCAGGAAGTTTTCATGAGCAATCAGTTTCTGGTTACGGGTGTCCGGGATCAAAAAGGATGGACCACCGGAAACGTCTCCATTGTGCGCTTTGTCTAACCCATGATGATATAGAATAAAGGCCCTTTTAGCAAGGTAAAAATCATCAATACTCAAACCACTAAATTAACACCTAAATAGGGAGCCAGTTTTCCCATAGAAAGATCTCCCAAGAGGCTCTTTAAATTTAAGAAATGTTTGTGTTCATATTCACTATTGTGATAAGTCCTATCATAAATAACTGGTTTAATTTAATAGAAACATTTAAATAATCTTTCATTATATACAGTGTAGAATATAAAAAATACAAATTAAATAAATAATATTGAAACGTATGATAAAGTTCAATGATAAACGCCATAACGATACACATTGCTGCAGTTGAATGCTCTGAAAAGACATGATAAACTGGACTGAAAATTCTCTCCATTCAAATTCATCAAATAATTTTAGAAATTCTACAAATGAACGTCTTAAAATAGCACAAGACGTTCTAGTAATTACTTTCATGGCATTGCTTATGATTGCAATGGGTGCGAATATCTGCTGGAAACAGGTAAATAAATTAAATTATTGCTTAATTGTACGCAGTAAATAGTTTTAACGAGTAAATTTATAGATTTGGATGCACGTTCGAAAGCCATTTGGACCAATAATAGGTCTACTATGTCAATTTGTGATGGTACCATTGGTCGGTTTCATATATAATAAGATATTCAAATTTGAACCTGAAAAATCAGCGGCAATACTTATTATGTCGTGTTGCCCTGGAGGTGCTATGTCTAATGGTTTTGTTTATTATGTAAACGGTGACGTTTCTTTAAGGTAAGTAATAAAATATTATAAATTTATATTGTAAATATTTAATTATAATTATTTTCAGTGTTGCTATTGTTGCAATATCTACCATTTTACTATTTGTCATGATGCCCCTTAATCTTTGGATATACGCAATCAGAACAGAATCTAATGCGTTAATTATACCATACAAGAGTATAGTTATATCATTGATAATCATTACCTTGCCTGTACTGATAGGTATGGTAATTAGATGGAAAGCTCCAGCGATATTTGTCTATGTCACTAAGGTTAAACGATATTTATTATTTTATCTCGCATTAAAATAAGTAAATATAATTATATAAATTCTTAATTTTATTGCAGGGAGGAACTGCTCTAGGTTTTGTATTACTCGTCATCGCTTGGGTATTATGTTTCACTTTGTATTCGGATTCTCTACGTTACATATCCTGGAAACTTATTTTAACTTTTATATTTATGCCTGCAACTGTAACAATATTAGGATATTTTATAGCATTTATTTGTAGGAGAGAAAGTGCCATTTGTAAAACCTTAGCAATGATAAGCGGAATACAAAATGCGGCAGTAGCACTAAGTATCATTGTTTTATCTTTTGATGCCAAAGTAAGTTTCCTTAATATTATTTGATTAAATAATATTTAAGAATTATAATAATTTTATATTGTTAGATACATGCAATGGTCATTTTAATTCCGTGGTTATACGCAATATCTCAATGTGTTATGTTGGGTTTCATCTGTTTCTCTTATTATATTTTTACTAAATATTGTAAACTGAAACAGTCTACAGAAGAAATTGGCATGAGTGAAAGAAAAGGAGGTAATAATATGTTATAAATTAATCAGAATAAGTTATTTTATTCATTAAAATATCACTTTTTATAGGAAATACCACTTTATGAAATCAATGCTAAACTATATGTAAAATTTTCCTTCCCTCTCAAATTCTGCGAATTTTACGAAAGGCTAACGCAACTGTTTCGTTCAGCTGTTTGTTAATAAAATCAATGTACATCTCTTAATAAAACCTTACAGTGCATTGTCACGAGACAATTTATGGACGTTCGTGAGCCCATAAACTTATATGATCCGTTCTTCCACACTGTAGGAGCTTGTTTTGTCCACCTGAAGTAAACGATTGAATATAAATGTACAACTTAAAATAAATGACAAAACTTTCGGATCACCCTGTAAACAAAGAAATTTTTCAAATTTAATATACCTTTATAGATTAAATTATGTAAAAAAGAAGAAATGAAATAATTTTTAATTACAGTAATTTAATAATTCAGTTTATAAAATGACTAATTATTTCTATTTCGATAACACGAGCAAATATAATAAAAATTGTATATACCTCATGGTTCAAAAAGTACAAACGAAATTCAATTCAAAGCAAATGAAATTAATTAAGTAGCCAATGGATTACGAAATACAATTTTTAAAATGTTTGCCTTCAGACAGTCAAACTCTGTAGATGTTCATAAAATTCATCAATAACGCGGTGTCTGATCGTTGCTGAAATTCCTCTCATTGCATCTCTGGTGCAATACTGAAGAATGTGCAGGTTTTCCATTAAGTCCACACAAACTTTATCTTTAGTTTTTCTCATATTGCAAAGTATAGAGAGTTTAATTCGGGGCTATGTGGGATTCGATACCGTCTCCATCCTTTTTCGATGCTTGCAAAACAAACTATCTGGGACCAAATATCATGTTTGATAGATTTATGCAAAATAAATAAATAAATTCAAAAAACAACTTGTTTCAAACAAACTATTCAAAAGTTATAGTATTTTCCCACCAGGATATACTTATCACCACCCTGTACTTATGTGAAAATATATTCTTAAGTTTACAAATATCCTCACTTTCTCTATAGATCAAAACCTTTCATAGTCTCCAAATATCCGAAAATTCAACTATACGAAGTTCTAATTAGAAGTGTAACCTGTTCATTGGTAAATAGTTAATTACAAAGCAGCTGTAGTTTAAGTTAATCATAAAATCACTTGGCGCAAGATAATACAGCGTACGTGAAACAATCTCATTGTATTTTCCTGAAAAGCGTTTTAAACTTTCACTGAACAATAAAACGAGGTATCTATGGTGAAATAGAATCTGATCAATACACAAAACGTATTTTAAGTGCCATGTCTTTCTGAACTTTAAATTATAAAAGCCGACTTGAAACACTAGCTATGAGGATTATTCCATTATCACAAAGCAGCAATCTGTACTTACTGTAACATGGAATTTTTTTCAGTAAAACCAAGTTCAAACATTTCTAACGAATAGACTAGATGAGGTTCTGTTTTTCATCTTCAGTCTATTATAATGGTAAACAAAATGCAAACCATAGTTTTATGAATGTCAAATATGCATTACCAGAACGGTTTTTGTTCGAAGGTTAGCGTTTCTTAGAATTCATCATGCTGACACCTCGGATTTGTTGGTATAATAACCCTTATAATTTCGTCCACTATTAATCTTCAAAGGTCAGAAACATATTTGCAAGTTTCAATGGGCTAGTCGCGTGTATTTTCCGGGGTTTCTTTCACGTGTATAACACCTAAATTAGGCCCAATTCCCCATAGAAAGTCTTCTCGGCAAATCTTTCATATGTTGCATTGCCTTATCTCATCAATCCTGCTTCAAAGTTTTGCTTCACAAAATCACCATATTCATGAAATTTTCACAGTTACTCACATTTTTCTTGGCGCACTCAGAAAACATTTTAGATATTTATTTCTAAATTTTATTGGATATTTTTCTCTATAAAATGAATTCTAGACTCACATTATTATTGATTACTGAAGATCGCTATTTTAGGAATACCAGAGAAAATACATCGACGACTTTATAATTTAAATGTATCTCTTATCATAAACAGTTTTAAATAAAATATATTTAATCAAAGATTGTTTTTAATGTAAATAAATATAAAGTTTAAAAAAAAAACTATTTATGGAACGGTTAACCTTGCTGGATTTGAGTTTGTGAATTAGGACAACGCAACACATGGACAACTTCCAAAGAGATGCTTCCCGGGAGGACTTTTTATGTGATACTGGATCCTATTTAGGTGTTGAACACGTGAAAAAATCCGGAAAATCCTACGTGACTAGCCTGTTGCACCAGAGTATTGCCGGGTTATTTTTATCATCAATCAAACTCTATTCGATGTTTACATAAAAGTTCAAGGCACCGAATGAACTTAACTGTGTGGTCTGCAATAACCGATAATTGTCTATTAATCTGTCGAAAATAAACTGCAGGGTCCAAAATTTATAAGCCTTTTGGTCAAATTGGTGAGGAAAGTTTCTAGCACTTTCCTATCCAAATTAATAAAAATGCTCTATTTATTCCATGTCCAAAAGATTGGCCATTTGTAAAGGAAGGTAGTGGGAAAAGAAATAAATCATTTCAATTCATTGGCATTATCTCTTAATGTTCGTGCCGATGACTGAACGTAAAAAATAAATTATTTACTCACTCAAATTTATCATTTTTTCTCATCATTTTCGATTGTTTACACAAGAGAACCAATGAAAATAAATATTATTTCTATGTGATAAAAACTAAACAACACGACGATAGTTGAATCAGTTCTCTAAAGATGATAAACGAGACTGAACATCGGTCAAATTTAACAACTAATTTATCAAATTATACTCATATTAATGAAGATATTAAAACAGCTTACAATATTCTGGTGATTTTTTTGATAATATTTATTATGACATCAATGGGAGCGAATATCTGTTGGAAACAGGTAAATAAATCTAATGCTTATTTAATTATAACTAGAAAATAGCTTTAAAAATATGATTTTATAGATTTGGATGCACGTTCGAAAGCCATTTGGACCAATCATAGGTCTAGTTTGTCAATTTCTGATGATGCCATTGGTCGGTTTCATATATAATAAGATATTCAAATTTAAACCTGAAATGGCAGCGGGATTACTCATAATGTCGTGTTGCCCTGGAGGTGTCGTCTCTAATATTTTCTCGTATTATTTAAACGGTGATGTTTCTTTAAGGTATGTTTTAATTATTTATATACCTTAAAATTCTATATCTTTAAATCATTTAATGATAATAAATGTTTCAGTGTCACCATGACTACTGTATCTACCATTTTAGCATTAGGCATGATGCCTCTTAATGTTTGGATATATTCAATAAGAACAGAATCTAGTACGTTAATTATACCATACAAGAGCATAGCTTTATCATTGATATTGATCATCTCGCCTGTATTGGTAGGTATGGCAATTAGATGGAAAGCTCCGAAAGTATCAGTCTACGTCACAAAGGTTAGTTTGTTTTAATTGTATTCTATAGTGATATTTAAATGGTCGGATGGCCGAGCGGTTATGGTGACAGCTTACCGTTCTGGGGAACCGTTCCTCAACATCCTGGTTACTCAATTATGGGCTTGTCTGAACCCATAATGGGCTTTCTAAATAAAGGCCTTTCATTGCCTACAAAAAATACTGATATGTATATGTAATTCTTTATTTTATTTTATTTTTATCACAGGGAGGAAGCGCTTTAGGCTTTATATTTCTTATTATTGTAACAATGTTGAAATTCGTCATGTTTAAAAATTGGCTTCATCAGATATCCTGGAAATTTATCATAGCATCCACGTGTATGCCCATAACCGGAATTTTATTGGGATATTTCATAGCTTTAATTTGTAGAAGATCAAATGCTGTTTGTAAAACCATAGCAATTGAAAGCGGAATACAAAATGCGGCTGTAGCATTTAGTGTTATCATTTTATCTTTTGATATCAGAGTAAGTTTTATTTTATAATTATTTAATTATATTGTAAGATTTGTAACAATTTTATTTTTAGAAATATTTTACAATACTCTTCATTCCGTGGTTTTATGGATTGTCACAAAGTGTTATATGTGCTCTCCTCTGTTTATTTCACCACATTTTGATTAAATATTGCAAGAGAGTACAATCTACACAAGAGGCTGTTGAAATTGTGAGGAAGAAAGGTAATAAATACGCATTAAATTAATCAGAATAAGTTATTTTACTCTCAAAATACATTTTCTTTCAGAAGACATTGTTATGAAGCCGTCGTCGACGATCCCTACCTGAAATATTAACATTTTTACTGTAAATCCTACAACCAATATATTAAAAAATATTCAATTATTCTTGCATAATATAGTATTTAAATATTGTTAAAACCAAAAATATTTCTTTATAATTATTTGTTTTTATAATAATTTTACATAGAACAGTTGTTTAAAATTTTATATATTTTACATAAATTAAATTCTATGAAAAACTGATAAATAAAATATTTTCTGATTATTCAATTTTATTTTAAAAATTATATTTCTTCATGTTTTAATATTTGATGGGATACGACAATGCGACACATGGGCGAACTGCAAGAAAAGAGGACTTTCTAAGAAAAACTGACCCCTATTTGGGTGTTAGGCACGTAGAAAACCCGGAAAAGATTACGTGGCCAATTCGTGGGTCAGGCTCGAATCCACGCCAAAGGACCTGTGTTTAATGGTTTTGTTTTATTTAATTTTTATTATTGATGTCACGCGAATCATTTCAACGTTTATTTTGATTAAAATATGTCCATTATTTTCGGGTTAACTCGTAATCTTCATGAGACTGAATACGTATAAAAATAAGGGAAAACATCAATTACTATTGAAAAGTGTGGATTATTCCAAATAGTACAATTCTTTCATGGCACTCATCGCGTGTAGTACTTATACTGAAGTACTATGCACATAGTAGTACACTAAAGTTGTGAGTGTCCTTAGTATTTAGACGTTTCTATTGCGGATCTATCCAAATCCATAATGGGCATCAGGAACACTCAGAAGAGTCCTCTTTCTGGGTGTATGAGCTAATTTCTCTGGCCCCGAAAAATTAGAGATTACTATACTATGTTTCTTTTCGTTTAATTCCTTTACTGTAATAATTTAATGTGATATAGGATCCAAATATATAGGCCTATATTTTTCCACGTGACGTTATCATCTGGGAAGCCCTGATGAACATAGAACGTAGAACGTAGAGATCTTAGTACCAGGAGAAAATAAATGAGAGATTTGAAAGTGAACTTACCTATTATTGTAAACAGTTTCAAAATAAAGCTGATAAAATAACTTATATATATATATAATAAATATAGCATTTTTTATCTTTGTTTATAGTATACGATACCAATTTTTCAATTAATAATTATATAATTTATTCAAATATCTTTATAATTTTATTAATATTTTTCTTTAAAAATAAACATTTTTAGTTTATAAACTTTCTCGAATGATATGAAAATGTGCAGACGTTCAGCGAAAGTAAACTTAAAAACGAAAAATAAATGAATATAAAATTTTTATTCCTCCAGCAATAAACGCGCGGAGTTGTTAATAAAAGCCAAAGATCAACAATAGACTCCTTATACCAGTTGCTTACAATCTATAATGCAACAGGCATCCGAGCCCCTTTGCTCGGTGGAGGGTTCCCCGAGACAACTGCTTGCTCGTTGGGCGGATCCGGCAACCTGCGCTGAACCCGTAGTTGGTCGATTACATCCGGATTAAAATACGGATTCTGGTTCCGCCCTGCAGGCCCCTTTTGTAGCTGGGCCGCTCTCCGAGCATATCCCGTTCTTGAGCCGCCCTCCGGGCCCCCTTTGGGATTTTCGCTTTATCGACGACCCTGGGGTCCACTGTCCCGTTGGAAGAAACCCTTCGACCCCACGAAAACACCCAAAAATAAAAATAACATAAATACAAACGATGCACCGGACGTACTCTTGTCCCTCGCACTCGCGTCGTTTCAATTTTTGTTACAGGTACACGCTTCTTGCACTTTGCAACCAATTTTTCTGGTCCACAACAATGTAATCCAGCCCCTAAAAGCCCCATTTTTGTTATAATAATTGTCATTTAACCTTCAACAATACAAACAACAGCGTATTTCGTAACAACGATAACAATTGTTTAACAACAATAAAGAAAAACTAAATTTAATTTTCCATTTGGCATAAATGTGTAATTTTTTTTCATTTTACGTGGTCAAATTATGCAAAGATCATCACCGTCGACTTCATCCTCCCACCATATCTATCAAATATTATATGTTTATTTAAATAGCAGTGTAGACTGAAAATTCGTATATACATTTTTTGCATAACACATACGGTATTTGTAATTTAATTAACATCTACACCGAAATATTACAAGACATTTTTCATTAACACGCTACTAGTAAACAAAATGGAAACTGTATAAAGCTATTGAAAAAGATTCGAGAAGCAAAATACGTGGTTAGTAAAACTTTATGTGAAATTATCTCTAATGATCATTATTTCAAATTTGTTAAGTTTCTGATTAATTTTTTTTTCATTTATTAATTATTATACTTTCCACCTTCAAATTGAATAACTTGTCGACATTATTTCATTTTTATTCTGTAATTTATTTCTCTTCTTCTTCGTCAAATAAATCTCTCTTTTCGTTTTCATCCTCTTTCTCTTCATCTTCGATTAATTGTCTCATTTCATAATTTTCACTTTCATCAAATTCTCGTTTAGAATATTCTTCGTCTTCATCATCTTCCAACTCTCTCACTTCATATTTCTCTTCACTATCATCCAATGATCTTGCTTCATCTTCGTCGTCTTCATCTTCCATCTCTCTCACTTCATATTTCTCTTCACTATCATCCAATGATCTTGCTTCGTTTTCTTCTTCTTCATCTTCATCTAATTCTCTAACATCAAATTGGTTCTCATCAAATAATTCTCTTACTACATTCTCCTTTTCCATATCCTTTATTACTTCTCTAATTTCATTCCCTGCCTCATCACTTTCCAGTAACTCTCTGAATTCATTCTCCATTTCTTCCCTAATTAATTCCCTTTTTACCGCCTCTTCTTCATCTTCCGAACTTTCACCAATTTCCCTGACTGAATCTTTGTCACTCATACGTTTCTTCATGAAACTCTCATTTTCCCACGCATCAGATTCTAAGAAATCGTCAAAGTTTCTCGGTTCTTCTTGTGTGTTTTCACTTTTATTTTTGAAATCGTCGTTTAAATTTCTAGAAATTTTATCTTCACTATCCACGTCTTCGTTAGCTTCGTATTCATTTTTGTTTTCTCCAATCGTTTCGTTTTCCTCGAATTTTCTTTCAGGTATTCTGAAATATTAATGCATTTTTAGATGTATAAATTATTATATACGTTCTAACTTAGATAATCTGGTACATACTATCCCAAAATATTGATTTAATTTCTAAAAATTTTACTGTAAATATATATATATATATACAATAAAACCTGCTTAAACCAGAATCACATGGTACTGAATATATTTTCCGTTTTTGCAGATTTCCGCTTTGAACAGGTTTCTTTTAACATAAAAGGAGGAAATATAGAGAAATTATGCACTTACTCTCGACATACACTGCTACAAATTCCATTTCTACAGATGTGAACTGTTAAACAAATTGTAGCACTCTCGATTTCGATAGCAAAACCAGAAAGCAATAACAATGCAACGAACATTTTGTACTTCATCTTCTGTAACTAAAATAAAATCTAAATTTAATGTATTCCGTACAATACAGCATCTAAATTTTAAATAATGTAAAATGATTATATAATCTGTATATAATTATGCAAACTGTAGCGGTATAAACGATGCGTCAAATAATTTTTGCCTGTTTCCTCATAGAAAAACGTACAATTTCGATCAAGAAATTTGAGGATTTCAATGATTAATTAAATGAAATTCTTGTTATACTTTGTTCAAAATTTCAAAGTTCTTACTCTTTACTCCCTCTCTTTCTGGACACTAAGAGGGGGCCTTTTTAATCAAACCCTTCAAGGATAGTGTTTCATTCAAAAAACATCATCCACCGGGGTATTTCTCTGATCTAAAGGATGAAAAATGAAATTGCTTGGTCAATTTATACATATTTATGTAGAAAAAAAATAATCATTTGTATTCTTACAAAACTGTTTATACGAAGTTACACGAGGAGGTATTACCCTTTTGAACTCCCCTCTCAAAGAAATCCTGATCATGGATTCGATTAGGCCTACAATAGGGGTTACCGCGTAATGAGGAATAAAGCCCTATATATTTGGGACAGATTGCCATGAAAATTTCCTTGGAAATCGCTCGTCAGGATTCGATCCTGGATAAACTGCGTGGTTTTCCGGTCTAACATCTAAATAGGAGTCAGCTGTCCGCTCCAACTCTCTCACTTTATACGTCTCTTCACTCTCTCGTTCTGTTTGAAAGCGTTTTAAACTGATTATACATCTTTTATTAATCTAATCAATACGATAACCCAAAACTCGGTTAACCAATATATATTTAAAGAATGATTAGAACAGTTGTATGCCAATTGTTATTCGTTTGAAGCCACTGAAGTAACTTGAAACTGTTCAAACCGGTTTTAACAATTCTTAAAGCTATATTTCGGTTAACTGACTTTAAGGCCTCTATAAATTAACTAAACGCCGGCGAGATCGAAATCATTTTATTGTTTAGTAGAGTTTATCATTCTTGTACCCGATTTTCTTCAATTCTTTATTTCTTCTTATGATAAAAATTGTAAAAACGTCTGGAAATTTGATTGAGATCGTCACATTGACCTGCTGACACTATGAACATTTTTTAATCATTATGGGTTTGACTAAGCCTACGATAGAAGTGGCCAAGTAGTAAAAGGCGTGACCAAAATTGCGAATAAAACTGTCCATTAAAATCCTCCTGGTTATACTAATTTGAATATTCAGTAATTTTAGAAGTAAAAAATAAACAATTCCTAATATAATTTCACTCAAAAAATTCTTTTTCTATAAACTATAACGTGGAAAAAACGAAAAATATGATTATATTCTTCATTCTTTATATAATAACTAATCTAATGTTGAATTTTTGCAGATTGATATTGGTCCTATACAACCGTATCAATGATTCTGAGAAATAAATATTTTATAAAACACAAAAAAATTTCTTAATTTTATAATTTTTATTCTATCTTTGTCTATGATATATCCTTACAACAAACAATTGTAACAAGTAGCAGTGAAATTAATTGTGTAAAATATTGCATTTTATCTTCATTTTTAACAATAGATCTTAATTACTTAATNTTTCCATATAGAATCAACATGTGTAATATATCTTTAATAATAATTCATTATATTATTATAATTTAATTAAACAATTAATTTAATTTCAGCTATTTGACTAGAAAATTGATGATGATCTTTAATTGCAATTTGTTAATTTAATTTATGATGAAATAAGATATATCATTAACATGGAAGCACTTAATAGATTGTCTTCAGAGAAGTCAGTTTAACCACTAAAACACATATAGGTATACTACATAATTCTGTGTATTGTAATTGAATATACTTAGTTCTAGGCAATAGTAAATCCATAAAACTTTGCAGGGGAGTGCAGAAAGGTTTATGCCTTACAAAATTTTTTTACTGCCTAAGATACTCCCAGTTGCACCCTGTGCTAACTTTTCTAAATCCATCCCTAGGTTTATGTACAATCATACACAATTTCTCATTCTTTTAGCAGCTAAACTGATGATGATAAAATGTGATGGAGAATGTTTATTGGTGATACTTGCCATAGTTTTATCACTTTATTGATTCTTTGATAATATTGGGATTAAATGAAAAATCCATGTGAATTTGTTTATAATTTTCTGTGACAACACAGAATCTTTTATATATTTGTACAAAATGTCAAAAGCATTTATATATTTGTAGTATTTGTATGTAATGCAAACGGAGAATTTATAGTATATATCCTCAAACAGATATAAAAAAATAAAATAATAAAGACAAGAGTTTATAAGTACTGTATTTATAAAAATAATAAATACTGTATATTTATAAAGCAATCTGTAGTTATAAATACACCACTCCACACCAGGAAATATGAACAACACAGAACCAATTTTCAATGCATATAATACAAAAAATAAATGCTGTAGTTACCAGAATTCAATTTTGCAATATTAGAACACATCAATAAACTTTTCATTTTTCATTAAGTTATTTTTTTTTTAATATCTTAGGAAGAATTTACATCATGTCTACCTCAATGTCAATTAACATAAATAAAAATAGAAATCTAAACTCCTTTGAAAAATCAGGACAATTTATATCACACTCAAACCTGGATCCTTAAGAAGAGTTTTTTTTTATGATGAGGCACTAAGATAATACAAATGCAAATGTAATAAATTAATTTTAAATTTTAAATTGAAAAAATTGAATATCATCACACTCAATTCTGTCCAAAATGTTACTGTGCAATGAGAAATTCCTAATGGCATTAAGTTATGCATATGGTATTGCAAATGAGACCTGTAAGTTGTATGCAATACCATACTGTCAACTGCTCAACTGGTATCAAATGAACAACTTACAAGTTTTTGTATGCAATGCCAAACATATAACTTTAATGCCATTATAAATTTCTCACTGCACAGTAACTTTTCAAATATCCTGTATGTAGAGTGGCCACAAGTTCTTATGCATAAGATTCTATTATTTGTTTTATTTTTTTTTCCTACATGGCTTCAACTGAAGAACACTATAAGAATGATATCCCTCTCAAATACCCAAAATCAATCAGTTATTGTTAAGTTTGGAAAAAAAACTTTCTATAACAAACTAGTTTATGACTGGCAAGACTTTACAGTCTACAGAAAGTGTTCTTTTGTCTCTTGTCACACACAAAGGACAATAAAACAATATTGTCTGTACAAATAAATAATGGAAAGTTTGAGTGAAGCATGAATTCTTTAACACAGCAGCATAATGGTATAGATCAGATTCACACCAATTTAACAATCAGCAGATTATATCTTAATTATTTGGTTAGATTTAATTATATATGTCTAAAAATACTAAAATAAACATAAAGTTGTCTAAAGTTGGGAGGAAGATTATCATCATCAACATAATCCAGATAAATCATATTATTATTTATGTTTAAAATAAAACATTTATTTATTAACAATAGCATATCTAGAAACCCTCAGAAAAAGGTGCAGCTGTACAAAGTGACCCTCTAAATCCAACCCTCTTATAATATACACAAATCTTCAAACAAGGAGCCTTTCAAGTGTCAAAACATTTGCAAGGAGATATAACTCATCATCAGTAACCACAAGAAACATTCAAATTAAAACAACTATAAATATTAAAATTAAATGTTTTATTTGAATTTGACTTAAAAGATATGAAGACTTTGAAAATAAGTTTTTCTAATTAGAATGTTTCTCGTGGTTGCTAATGATAAGAAGTAAATTTTCTTGAAAACATTTTGACATTTGAATGTAAGTGGCTCCTTGATTGAAGAGTTGGTCTGTATTAATTAATAGATACATCATTTTTTTATGTGCTGCAAGTATTTTCATTTTTTTCAAGACTGCAAAAATTTATTAGAAATAACATTTAAAAAGGGAAAAAATAAACAGAAAAATTTTATTGAAATATATCAAGTGATAATTATATAACATCATTATTATTAATTCTTAATTTTAAAAATTAAAAATTATTTGACTGGCCTAATTTATCCACTTTATNAGCCAACCTAAACAAAAAATAAAGCTAATAGTTTCATGATTTAGTTTCTGTATTGAAAATGATGGTGACTACTTTGAAAAGACATATGCAAAAACCCAAAAATCTCATAGCCACTCCAAAATACATTAATGTGTATATTTTAGTATTAATGTAAAGTCACCTATTCAGTTAATATACAAACATATCGTTAATTATCATATTTAAAAACATATTAAAAATTATATCTAGAATTCATTTATTTACATACACAAAGTAATGCTATGTATTGCACAGAGCAAAAGATATATTCCATGTCTTTCACATAATTGAAACAAACTAGATTTTTCAATATTCATACAGATTTTAAATATGTTTTAAAAGTTTTTTTATTGTAGATTTTATTATACTGTAAAGAATTAAACTAAAATGTAAATACTTTTTCTAAATTCACAATCAGTAGCAAAATGCATTTGAATCTATTCCTAGTATTAAAAATAATATACTTTACTGAATGTACAATTGAGTAAGTTATAAATAAAAATAGTCATAAGTTTTATTGAGATAGAAGACCATAAAGGATCTCCTACATGCCACAACTTAAAGGATAGGACAGGATTGATAGAATAAAGCAACATTTGGGAAATCTGCCATGGTGGTGTGTCTCCTACGAGATCTTTCTATGGAAAACTAGCCCCTATTTAGGTGTTAGGCAGGTGAAGCAAATCCAGAAAACTCTTGATGGATTTGAGACATATGGCCAGCCTGCCTAATATAGGCCAGCCTGTTGGCCAGATGTAAATCAGTGAATGCAAACAACCTAAAAAATTACTGTGTTAAGATCATATACAGAAACAAGGAGTGCATATGTTTCTCCTTGCCTCCTGTGGCCAGCCTGTTGGCCAGATGTAAATCAGTGAATGCAAACAACCTAAAAAATTACTGTGTTAAGATCATATACAGAAACAAGGAGTGCAA